CTAGCCACCTAACAGGACTGAACTCGGGGGGCTGCAAGAACACCTCAGCGTGTGCAGCCCCAACAATTGAAAACAGAACATTTGCAGGTTGTAGATCTGCATTAAGTCAGGATATCACCAACTCTCATGCTTCAGGCGCTGACCTACCACAGTGAGTGATGCCTAGCTTATGAAGGAAGTCAACACCCAGCAAGACTTGTTTGGAAATAACTCGTACATAGGCTGCCTGGTGCGGCCTTCCATTGACACTTATTACTTCACCGTCAGATATCATTGCAGGGAGCACTAGACACAAGTGTGTCCCATTTGGGCCATCATGCTCAAAATAATCCAGCAGTTCAATAACATGCTTTTTGCCAGGATGATCTAGGCCTGGAGCAGATAATCTAAGAAGCATAGCAAGCTCTTTATTGTTTCTGGAAACATCTGCTTTCAGTATCTTCAAGGCAACATGTCGCTGGAGTCTTAAAAGGAGTCATTAGTTGTTGTCGCTGAGGAAAGATGTCTGCTGAAAGAGAGACTCACAATTGATCGTGTGTGAGCCATACTGTCGAGAATCGACCAAACGCCAACTTTCCAATAACCTCGTACCTCTTGTTGAATACATCATGTAGGTGTACTGGATGATATCCTCCCCGGTGATACTCTTCAACGGGCTCAACAACGTCATGGATTCTCTCGAAACGCCGCATTTTGAACCACAAGGAAACTGGTTTGGGACAAAGAACATATCCAGGACGGTGGCAGCCGACCCACACACCAATGTGCGAGATAATATCCCGGGCGTATCAAGAGCAATCAAGTCCAAAGCCATAACCAAGATTTCCAAGAAGAGGGATGCTTGGATCGACAGACTTTTCCGATGTCATGTGACGGAGCTGGGACTGTTCCAATAACTAACTATTAACACTTTGATGAAGCGGCCAGCAGCTAATTAACTAACATTCCTGGCGCTTAGTCGCGAAATGTTGAGAGACGTTTTAACGCTTCACCATTTCTTCACAACACGCGACCGGGGTGAAAATAAGCCTAGCCCAACGACAAGTTCCAAGTGCATAATTGAGATGCTAGGTGCACCATCACCTATGAATTACCGTCAAGCCTATGGAACGATGGATTCTCTCCGCGATGATGGGCCACCATGAACTAACCTGCCTCTATATTTAGATTGCTATGGCGACTCGCCGGAGTCAAAGTCGACACACCTCCCATTAACAAGAGCATCTACGACTTGAAGCTATGCCTCCAGCATTTATGACCTGAAAATGTAGAACCCTGCTGCATACCATGATGCCGTTCTCTTCCCATCCTTAAAATCTTCTACTTTATCAACAATCAAAGCACTATTCAAGTCTCTACTCCATCGTCCAAGCATGGTCTTTCCTGATGAATTCAAGTATCCTGCTATGTGCTCCACCCAGCCAAACGTGGGGACCGAGATCGAGGAGCTGGTGCGAGAACACCACCGGAACAATTTGCTGGGGAAGGACGGAAAGATCTATGACATAGCTGTTTGTCATGTAACTAACATTAAGGATAAGCTATCCCCGTTGTACGCTGGCTTCGCTAATGGTCGCCAAGCTGCAACTTCCACACTAGTAGCCATAGTGGTGACCCAAAAGAACATTGTACCGTTGAATATCATGCTGGAAGCTTCGTGAAGACCCAGCACGTCTACCACAAAGGATTGAGTCGAGGTCCCGTTCGGAGGCTGGAGACAGTGACCCTTCTTCATGAGTTGTCACTCACATCGTTAACAGACCTACAGCACGGTCATGGATGCGGCTGAGGAGCGACCTTGTATAGATTTCCGAAGCGCGTCGATGATGTAACTCAGAGCGGCCAGGCCAAGGACGTGCCAAACCCGAAGAAGCGACGGATGGGGTGCGCAAGAGGGCGAGGGCAGCATGCAGGCCGGGACCACAGAGAGCTTGTTGTGTATGAAAATGGTCTCCCAGTGACACCCAATTCTACGGACAGCGCATTTTAGAAGAAGCGCTGCCACATCAACGTGCAACTGAAAGCTGGCTAACGTAATCCAGAACCCAATGTTGATGCGTTGATAGGAATGTTCAATGTCGATGGCTAGTTATATCCCAGTTTCCAGCTGAACACCCAAGCTCGTTTCCTTCCAGAAGTTGATGGGAAATTCTGCGCACGGGAACACTGCACTGCTTTTTGAAGGCATGCCCGACTTGCCAAATCCGCCGGCGGCCACAAGTTGCGCACACAGCCAATGGGTTGAGTCGGGGCTAGATTGGATGCAAGAGCCCACAGCGATACAATGTTGTCGATATCCAATATCCTCTTGTTTGAATGGTGTGGTGGGGGTTGGGTACTGACTAACCGGGGCAGCGTCATATTGACATGGGTAGTTGTTAGTTGTTAGTTTGGAAGAGAACGAACAACAGGCTCATTCGACCAGGATAGCAACATAGGACCAAAGGAAAAAGGGCAACCCTGTCACCACTGCTGAGCCTGCAGTATTTTCACCTACACCTCCATATACATGTGTAGATCCATAACACCTACACGGGAGATGTACAGTTTATTTTCTCGAAGCTGGGGAGTAACAAAAGTTTATATGGCATCACTACTATAGATGTGCTATTGAATACAGCTGCAGCATTTTCTACATACAAAAATAAATAAATAAAAAATAAAATGAAATGAAAAATAAAAAATAAATCAAATATCGATCTTTAGTTACACCAGCGACTTAACCCCTCTACACCCGCTTCTTCATCGCCTCCACCAACCGCCACCCCTCCCCCTCCCGCCCCTTCACAACCTCCAAACCCCTCCCCAAACTCCCCCACCTCGCAAACCAGTAATCGCCCAAATAATCCCCCTTCGGCAGCCACGGCCTCCTATTCGCCGCCATCGGCACCTCCCCTTCCGACCTCTTCACATAATTCGAGTTCAAACTCAACAACGACCTGGTCTCCAACCGCGCCTCCTCCCTCTCTTCCATCCGCGGCACAGCAGCCACAAGACCGCGCGCAGCCATATACTTCAGCAGCCGCACGATGAAAATGGCCGCCGCGTCCGCGCCCAGTGTCCACGAGGCATGCGCGTAGCCAATCACGAAGCACGCGTTGGGGATGTCTTGCAGCATAACCCCGTTCCAGAGGAACTTGCTGGGCAAGTGGACCGGCTTCGCTGCGCCGTCGATGGCGATGCTGATACCACCGGCGATCCGCAGTTTCAGCCCCGTCGCCGTAACGATGATGTCCGCCGCCAGAAACTCGCCGGAGTCCAACTCGATCCCGTGCGCCGTGACGCGCTTAATCGTATCGGTCTTCACATCCGCTTTTCCCTCGCGGAGGCACTGGAAGAAATCGCCGTCTGGCGTGATGCACAGCCGCTGGTCCCAGGGGTTGTATCTCGGGTTGAAGTGCGGGTCGTGCGGGATGTGTTTGGGCAGCTGGGCGGAGACGGAGCGGCGGAGCAGGTAGCGGGCGAGGCGGGGGAAGCGCTGGCAGAAGCCATACAGGGTGCGGGAGAAGAGGATGAAGCATATGCGTTGGAGTTTGCGGTACAGCCATGTTGGGAGGAGGTGGGAGAGGAGGCTTGGGGGCCCGCTGCGGTTGGGGATGGTGAGGATGTAGGAGGGGCTGCGTTGGAGCATGGTTGTGTGTGCGGCCTTTTGTGAGACGGAGGGGAGGAGGGTTATGGCTGTTGCGCCGCTGCCGATGATTACTATTTTCTTGCCCGTGTAGTCGAGGGACTCAGGCCAGAATTGGGGATGTATTGTGTGGCCCGTGAAGGTCTCAAGGCCTGGAATGGCTGCGGCGAGTGGTTCGCTGTAGTTGTAGTACCCTGTGCCGAAGACGACGAAGCGCGCTGTGTATGTCTTCGCCATTCCCTCGTTGTCGACTTGTAGTGTCCATGCATTGCTGGTTGTGGACCAATTGGCGCTCTGCACCTGGTGTTTAAATTGGATCTGTTGATCAATGCCGAATTTCTTAATTGTATCGCGCATGTACGCCCTCAGCGCGGGGCCCTCTGCAATTGGGTTATCCTGGTTCCACGGATTCCAGGCGAAGCCGAAGGTGTGCAGGTCCGAGTCCGAGCGGATGCCCGGGTATCTGAAGAGATCCCAGGTGCCACCGATGGCATCGCGGCCTTCGAGGATGACATATCTGTAATCTGGAAGGGAGGTTTGGAGCCGGTACGCCGTGTTGATGCCCGAGATGCCGGCGCCGATGATGAGGATGTCGCAGGTGTAAGAAGGATTGGAAGCATTTATGTCAATGTTTCTGACGTGAGCGTGGTGGGCATTGCGATCGCTGTGGCCGCTCATCGTCGGGGGTCGCCGGGGGAAGACCGTAAATAAGCAAGGATTGCAGCTCTGGGGGTACAGGGATCAATCGGCTGGTTTGACGTTATGACTTTAGTTAAATGGGAGCTACCCCGGAGTTCTTTTTTCCACTTTGCGATCCCAGTAAGTTAAGTAGGTTGAGTTACCGATGAAATGTTTTGTTCTGCCACCTGCACCGCTCCAGATAGATCAATGGGGTTCATCCACGGACAGCAGATCCCCACCAGTGCAGATGTTCTATGTGCATATATAACTATAATTACATTGTGTCTGGCGCGAGCAACCGGTCTCCCGCAGCAGCCTCGGTGCGACGCCCGTCTGCTGCGGGGTGCGGAGACGCGGGATGCCGTTCAGCCCACAAGCCCATGAATCAATCCATGACCAAAGGGGAATCGTGAGGAGGCGGGGAATCGGGCCAGCACGAAACCCAAGAAGCATACGCAGCAAAAACGATGAGGTCAGTCAACCAGGGAACTCAGTTGGTGAGATCCAGTCATGGCCAAGTAGGGTTCTCCTTTACCTTGGTCGGTGATTGCTCAACTCGTTATTTACCTAGGCTATTTGGTTCGACCAAGCCGGATGAACCGCTGGTGGATGGATAGGCCCCTAATTACGAGGTGAAAGAGCTGCGTTTATGCGTTGAATGCGTGGATTTAAGGCTTTTAGTTAAACCTAACTAACTATCCCATCGACAACAGGGCCAAGAGTGCCGCGATTTCAGATGAAATGGGCGGGGAAAACTCAGCTGATGAATTCCCGAGGAAACGAGGTTGAGCTGAGTTGGATCGAAGTGGTTTTGTTGTCTGTCTGTCTGTCTGTCTCTTCCTCAGCCAGCTGCTGCAGCTTTGCTATTTATGCCATTAACTAATAGCTGGGCTGTATGGCTGTTGCAGAAGCTGTAGCAGCAGGTGCAGATCCTTACACAGACACACCCATACACAGGAAAGGGGACAGACACATGAACAATGGCGACGGCTACCTCGATTCTGCAAAGGCACCAAGCTCACCCTCTCTGGCAGAAGTTGGACATTGATCCCTGCCCTGCTCACGGGTGTCCCTTTCGCAGCGAGAAGCGCGCAACAACGCGCCCGCTGCATGTCGGGTATGCCATCCTGCGGAAGGCCACGGCGAGGTTGTCGCCGTTGCAGATGCAGTGAGTTGAACGTTGCCTTTACATGCATGCATGGACCTGCGTTTAGGACATGCAGTGCACACGCATGCATGCATTGAACGCATTGCCGTCGAAGAATGCAAACAGATCCATCGCAAGCTATGCCACGATGTATACATGAAAATTGTATTCATACGACATCTCCCAGACTCATCATGCCATTCCACCAACAAAGTCTATGAAAACCTCCGCCAAAAAGACAAGGCCGCCCCATCCAGTCCGCCCATCCAGTCCGCCCACCTCACCCACGGCGCCGTGGCTACAGGATCGGAGACCCGGATGCAAAATATGTCCTGATCTGGTATCACGATGCGACTCTTATGACATATCCCGAATCAAAACCTCCGCATAATACACTTGCATACAGAACCGCATCTAACTCCTCTATGTATATATACATATACGCAAGGGGCGCGGCTTCGCCCTCCCCCGCCAACCCCGACCTACTTCCGCTTCCTAACCTCCCTCCTCAGAGACATGCAAGACGCAAATAATCGCTCGCCATCTTCGTGCCGACGTCCTTGCTGACGCCGCACGCCGTCCACCCGACCCAACTGCGGCAGGCGGTTGAGTGTCTGCGGTATATCCTACACAATAATATAGCTGCAGATACGGATGCAGATGCGGATGAAGATACGACCCCTCAGGATCCGCGCTATGTGTTTCTTGGCGGCGTCTTGTCGCATCTCTCCCATCCGCATGCGGCGATTAACCTGTGGCGATTGGGGGGTGGATTTGGGTGGGGCGGTTATGATGTCGCCGTGGACGAGTTTGTTAGGCGAATGGGAGGGTGTTAAGGGCGTGGAGTGGAGGGGTGATTATTTTACGGCAGCTGTGGCGGGAATGTTGACGGGGAGGGTGCTGGAAGGGAGGGAGGATGCTGGTGTTGGCGGGGGAGAGAGAGGTTTTGGAGCAGGGGGTTGGGGGTTTTGTGGGAGGGTTTAAGGTGAGTGGAGCCCGCGGGCTTGAGGTTGCGGATTTTTCGTTGTTAATGCGATTGTAGGCTGGTTTCCGGATGTGGAGTGTTTCGTTGGTAAAGAGGGAGTGCCGTGTTGCGCCGATCTTCAATCTGCATCTGGGGGACAAGACGGAGACGGAGACGGAGACAGGGAAGAAGTTGAAGGTTTGGTTGAGAGAGGTTTTTGGAGTAGTTTTATGTACACGATTTTTTTTTTTTTTTTTTTTCTTTTTTTCCTTCCAATCTACCTATTCACCTGCAATCCCAATCTACCGATTTGCATCTATCAATGAATTTTACGGCCCCTTCCTCTCTTCCACCTCTCTCAACATCCTCGACACCCGCCCTCTCACCCCCTCCTGCATCCACACCGGTAACCCCCTCAACAAACCCAACCATCCATACCCTTCCGGTAAAATCACCTGTCCGCTCCTCTGCCCTAAAACCAACTTCACCACCGCCCCCGACACCTCCTCCACGTCCATAACCGGCATCCCTCCTACATCTCTTCCCCCCCTCCCCGTCAACCCCCTCACCATCCCCGTCCTCACCCAATACGGAAACACTATGCTCGTCCTCACCTTATCCGCCCTGTACCACAACTTAACCTCCTGCCCCAACGCCTCATGAAACGCCATCGCACTAGCCTTCGAACAGCTGTAAGGCGCCATCCCGCCCAGGCCGAGGAACGACGCCATGCTGGCGACCGTGATGATATGTCCGTGGTTAGCCTTTAGCATGGGCGGGGGAGGAACTCGCGCGCGGTCCAGAAGTGGGAGATTGTGTTTACGGCGAAGGTTTGCTGGATGGTTGAGGTGGGGGTTGCGAGTATTGAGTTTGGGAGGCCGATGCCGGCGTTGTTGATTAGGACGGTTGGGGGCCGCTGGTGGGTTGAGAGGATTTGGGTGTGCAGCGAGTGAAGGGATGAGGGGCTGGTGACGTCTGTGGAGTGGAAGGTTACGGTTTGTGCTGGGTTTTTGTTTATCACGGTATGTAAGTCTGTGTATATGGTGTGCATGGGCATGGGGCATGTGCTATCGCTCTTGCTATTGCTAAAACTGATACGGGTGATATAATAGACTTTCACATACGCAGCTCGAAGTCCGGCTCCTTCACATCGGTGATAATAACCGTGACACCCCGTGCGGCTAGATCGAGCATGATCTGTTTCCCGATCCCGCTGCAGCCGCCTGTTATCAGGACGAGTTTCGCGGGGAGTTTGTCCCAGGGGCGTTGGCGGGTCCAGCTGTTCCGGATTTTGGCTGGAGAGGGTGTGGGAGAGGAGTCGGAGGAAGAAGATAGTTAGGAGGGCTAGGAGGGTTTTCCGAGTTGTTGGAGAGGGTGACTAGGGTGGTGAGGAGGTGGAGAAAGGGTGAAGGGCCATTGTTTTCTTGAGAGGTTGGGGTTTTATAATGATGTGTGTGATGGTGGATATGAAAATTGAGGTGATCGAAGGGATTCCTATAATTTTTTTTTTTTTATTCAAGGGCTGGTTTTTTTTATTTGATTCACAGGGCGGGAAGATATTATACAGCAGTCGACTGAGATGTTATACAACATATGTCTGAGTGGATGACTTGTTAGGCTGCACATTGCATTAATAATGGGAGGACAAACGCGGTTGAAGAACGTCCATAAAACCTGGTCAGATCACTGTATAATGGTATAATCAATCTCCCTTTCAATTCAAAAAATTGAGATTCACGGACTTCAGCTGAATTACGCAGCAGGCCCTTTCTGTGCTGGTAAGCTTAGCTGTACCAGTGTGTGTATCTCTCTTCGTAGTAATATATATGTAGGATAACTAGTAGAATATTAATTTACTTGACAATATGATGTGGTTATAACTGCTGAATCTATTAGAGCCACTATCCCTCTTGTTGTCTTGATAGCTTTTCCTTCAGATGCTGATCTTTCCAGCTTCACTGCAGCTGTTCTTTGGATGATTTCTTTATACTCATTGCCACCATTACAGCGGATGACCTCTTAATATAATAGGATATCTGCTCTCTCCATGCTTGAATCATCTCCTGTAACAGATTATTTCATGTTTTAATCTAAAATTTCTTAACAGTTTCTATTTATCTCAAAAGCCTTTTTTTTTTTTTTCCATCATAACATACCAATCAGCGTGAAGAAGTTATGGAATGTCTTCAGGTACGGCCTGAACTCCATACCACGCTGGTTGAGTTTCCTTTGGCATGTTGACTCAAGCCTTCCTTCAACTCATTGCTAATATCCCTATCTCCTGAAGTGTCTATATGAATTGCAAACTTTCATGCTCTGACTGCCATAGACCACCGTATGGATGAGGCTGGACATGGAACAGCGATCCCGCCAGAGCTTCGTGCGTCGAATTATGCGTTCGGAGAAGAAGAATTATCGGAACCATAGTGATGAGTTGCAGGATGGGCCTGCACTCCCATTTCCGTTCCCAACTCAGCGTAATCTCGAGGGCCGTTCGGGATCTGGAAGCTACCGGGTATGAAGTATGCAGACATCTTAGAACAACCCCCATCCAACAAACGGCCGAAAGGCCAGGAAGATCACTCATCAGCTTATTATCGCCGCAAGAAGCCGGACTGTCCATCACCCGCCAATATTCAATCTATTGCCTGCCCCGGGTTAGCCGGCACCCGATCGACACAGCCGAAAGGCCAAGGCAATGAACAACGAGCGCAAGGGCAGGGTAGTGAAGGTCCACAAAGCATCGAGCGCAGACCAATACGGATAAATGATCGTCCATATTGTTCTCAGAAATGCCAGCTTGGGCTGAGAGACGGAGGATATCTTGACCCGTTATGCCCAAACTTTCATGGTCACAAGGGGATGAATCTTCCCATCCTCTAACTTCTTGGACCTCGTTCGTAATCGGCCTGCCACTGATCGTGGATATGATGCAAACTGTTTGTCCACTCTATAAGGCTGGAAGCTATGGGGCACTGTTTAAAAGTACGACTTTCCTCCCACGGGTTCACCCTAGTGGCCAAAGGAGCTACGAAATCGAATGTACAGCTTCCTGTTCCATGAATATGGGATATATAATAAGCTACGCTCCATCCAGGGAATCCATGCGCCTGTCTGCCTCGGCATTGTCAAACTTGAATCAAAATACCCGTTCTACTACAATGGAGGGATATATGACTGCATGCTTTTCCTCATTTGGGGAGGAAATTCTATTACCAAATGCATCAATCCATCAATCTCCAGTATGATTGTATGCACCCTTCAGGTAACACATCAACAGGGAGTTCTTCATGGGATGCTGAAACCACGGAACTTTCTACGGAATGACACCTGTCAAAGCCCGATGATAGTTGATTTTGGACGGGCTTCGATTAAGAATCTTTTGTCCAACTGTCTCGACAAATACTTCCAAGAAGAAAAGGCATGGCATGAGAGCTGAAGATGCGTTTGCAGCTGAGCTGCGAACTGCACAACCCCTGTCTTGAGAAGCTTGTCCAAAGATTAGAAACTTCAAAAGTTTGAGGACAGGATGCTAATGCTTTGCGAAAATGATTTCCGCAATCATGGTCCGAAAGCTCAGACATATGTGATGGATGGGAAGCAAAACACGGGAACAGAATGCAGGATTGCTAACAAATTATGATGGATGTGAGAGAAGATAGTTCGCTGGCAACAGGTGCTGGAATAACTATATAATCAAAAGGGAGGATTACGATCAAGGGTTGATCCGATTTGGCTTTGATGCAAACGGAACGAGAGAACGGATAGAGCAGGGTACGTTGTATTACATGAAGAATTCGATCGCGACGCCATGCACCCGAACCTGTCACCCGGCGGCAACACGGGGGTGGGTGGACCTTTGCAGATAGCTCATCTGGATTAATAGGGGCAGGAAGAGATTAGCAGGGTTTCCTAAATAATTCGGCGGATAATCTTTCGGTTACCAAATTCCGGGAAATTATTAGTTATTTACATCATAGAATGTAATGAAAGCACGAATAGAAAGACGCGTCCCGGTGTGGAACGGGTCCAGTGGAGGTTGATCAGTACAGCAGCATGCTCGGCGCCATGCAGAGTTTGCAGGATACCCCCTCGCCGGCTCCTGACAAGAAATCTGCGGAGGCGTGCAAGATGCCTATGAAAAGGCGTCAATATAATTTTTAGGCAGCTGATACTCTGGAACTGCGTTCCATGTTGATGACTTGAGACAACCTGGAGATTTTGGGTTCCAGGAATCCGGGATTGATGATATATGAATGAACGAACCAACCCAAGGTGTTGTGAGGCTATATATGAAACGTGAATAGCATTGAATCTCATATATCTTGAAGAAAAGAAAGAAAGAGCAAAAAAAGAGAGAAAAAAAAACCACTTGATTGGATCTCTATCGATGCGGATTTCACCCGGCTTTTTTATAACAGTGGAATATGCAACTTTACCCTATTTTTCTTATATGTCATATGCCGGCCAGTTTACATACAAAAATCACTTCCGAAACATGTTCTGTATCAGATTCTTGTTCCGACGACAAAAAAAAAAAAAAAAAAAAAAAAATTCAAATCGTCGGCTTTATGGCGTTTTAACTACCAGGTGGATATTTAGCGTAAGCGAGCGAGCTTGGCTGGCACAGCATCTGAATATTTATCAAAAACTAAAAATTCCACCCATGAAATCAACTTACATTTATCGGGCCGATGGAGATGGCGGCAGGGACACTGATACGAGGCAAACGATGGTTCTTTCAGGGGTAATTGGGGACCTCCGAATTAGAGTTAAACCGCCTCCCGAGTCCCCTACTGCAAGCCTAACTAAATAGTTATCAAGGATAGTGATGCGCAGTCTTGTTAGATTCCTCGGAAAGGACGCAAGGTATGTCTGCCTGTAATTAGATCAGCGTCGAGAATTCACATTGCGCCTTAATTGACAGCAAGGATGGGATGAGGATGGCAGCGTGCTGACATCCACGTATAACCTCTCCACAGTCGTTAACTAACTGGTCAGTTAACCAGTTACGGCAAACAGGCTTCGGGCCGAAGAGTTGCTAAAATTATCGGGAATGACGTCGTTGTCTCAAGGGTTGATTCAGGACTTGAGCGGAATAGCGAGTTCCAATCAACTGACGATGAAGGGGTAAATATCTAACCGTTGAACTATCTGCACCCTTTATGTCTTAAATAATCAGCAGACAATATGCCAATGGCTATTTTGACTAGGTAACTAGCATGACCCTCCTATTCTCCACTTCTCCAGGTGCTTTATTCCGGCGGATTTAGCCGAGGCGGTTACTTGTCCGCCTCCACCATCAGGCACAACTAGGGGTTGATGTGAATGAAGGACGGAGTAGATGAAGAGATAATTATACTCTCTCACTGAATAAACAAAACCTTTTCCGATCCGCATCTCTTATCTCCCCCCACCAATAGACCAACTAGCTATCCCAATAGCCGTAAAAAAATCAGGAAACCAAAAACCAAACCTCCAACAATGCCCACCCTCTCGACCCTCCTCCCGCCCTTCCTCTCGACCCTCTCCCTCCCCCCACCCCAGTCCACTCACCTCCTGAACATCTCGCTCCCCCTCCTCGTCCTCTCAGAGCGCTTCTCCTTCTACCCAGGAAGCTACATCTTCAAACTCCTCTCCTCCGCCGCCTTCCTGGCCGGCCCGCTCTATTACCTAGCCCCTTCATCGCCGTTCCAGTTGAGGCAATGGAACCCATACCACCTCCGCATTGCTGCGGGATTGGTCTTCTCTGCCGTCGGGGATTATTGTCTCATTCCCACGCGGACCGCGTATTATGACAAGCATCTTGGTGTTTTGCATGCTGCCAGGAAGCATAGTAGTGCTAGCAAGCGAGCGGAAGAGGAGGTAGTAGAAGAAGAAGAAGAAGAAGAAGAAGTAGTAGTAGTAGAGGAAGAGGAAACGCCGCGGAAAATCTCCAAGTCCTTCCGAGCCGGCGTCGCTGCCTTCGCCGCCGCTCACATCTCATATGCCCTCGCCTTCCTGCACAACACCACGAACCGCAGCAGCACCTCGACCCAAATCTCCTGGCCCATCTTCACAGCCACCTTCGGCGCCTCCATGCTCCTCGCCAAAATCACAGGCGTCATATACCCGCCCAGAAACACCAAATCGAAGTCGAAGTCGAAATCGAAACACGCTTCCAGCTTGGCCAATTGCAATTTACTCAACCTCTCCATAGCAGACGACATGCGTCCTCTCGTGCTCGGCTACTCGGCTATCATAAGTGGCATGTTGGCCGTTGCCGCATCGACTTCTGCTGCTGCTGGGGGGTTTGCGCCAGCGCACCAGCGACTTCTTGGAGCAGTGATGTTTGTTGCGTCTGATCTCTTTGTGGCGAGGGATGCGTTTGGGAAAGGGGATGAGGGGCATCCTGGTTGGTTGAAGCCGAGTGCGGGATTTGGGTTGTATTTTTGGGCGCAGATGCTGATTGCGGGGACGGTGTAGGGGGACGATTGTGGTTTTTAGAGTTGTGAGGGGGTGGTTATGGAGAGGGGATTGGAATGTTGCCTTTTGTGCCTTTTTGTGCCATGTGTTGGTTGTATTATTTGCCTCCACCCCTGCTGGGCATAGTTAGCTATACAATGTAAATATCTTAAATGGATAGTTAATAAGCATATGAGGAATTCTTATGGAGGGAAATGAGCTCCGTTTCAACTGACCAACACGTCAGCATCACATCATGTATAGCATGATTTAACACAACGCGGGTTTTCTCAATGGGGGGTATTTGGGATACGAATCTCCATTCCGTATTTCGGTATACCGCTTTTGCAGACCGTGGGTAACTGCGGCAGGCGGAATTTTGTGCAAAGGGCATGGTGCTTTTGATTTGTAGTGAAGGAGGAAGAGCATCGTGGTCTCAAACTGATACGGTAGATGCGTAGTAAAATTACCTTTCTCAAAACAGTTAACAAAACATGCTATAACTAAAGCCAAAGGATCACACAAGCTATTCTGAAGCACCCAGGAACACGAACAGGAGGTGGGAGTAGGGAGCGCAGATATGACAAGAGATGTTCTCTGCCAGACAGGATATTAGATCAACCGCCAAAAGAAGTGGCTTGCCGGGAATCCTCCAACACCCAACATCAACACACAACCCTCACATATGCACCACTCCGTACGCCCCGCTGTGTACATACTCACAAAAACACCAATTATAAAAACAAATCCAACCCAAAACCTCTTTAAAAGTCACCCCCAAAATCACCATCCCCAAAATCATCACCCCCAAAATCATCGCCACTATAGTCATCCATCTCCGCCCCATCCGCCAGCCCCTCCTCATACGCATGCCTTCCATAACTCCCAACCGCCTTCGACAATAACGCACCACCCAGCAATCCGCCGCCCAGTCCTAGCGCCGCAGCACCGCCCCGCCCAATGCGCGGTCGTCCATGCTGTTTGTGATGCTGTTGCTGTTGTTGCTGCTGCTGGGGAGTGTATTGCGGGTATGATGGTGGCGTGTTGGGTTGGGGCCCGTAGTAGCCGCCGTACTGTTGTTGTTGTTGTTGTTGTTGTTGTTGTTGTTGTTGTTGTTGCGGGTAGGGTTGCTGCTGGTATTGTGGCATTGGTGGGTATTGTTGCTGTTGCTGTTGCTGCGGCGGCTGCTGCGGCGGCTGCTGTGGTGGTGGATAATACGGGGCAGTGCTGAAGCCGCCGCCTTGATTATTAGTCTTGGACGACGCTTTGCCCATCAGTTTGCCCAAGAAGCCGCCGGGAGATTTGCGGCGTTCCTCAATCAGTGGCTGGGGAGGTGGCAAACACTGTGGCTGTGGCTGTGGCTGCGGTGGTAGTGATGATGATATCTGACCACGGTCGATACTCCCCTGTCCCATCATGCCTGCCTGCCCATTCTCTTCCGCCTGCAATCGTGCGGCTAACCTTGCGTCCTCGCCCATCACGGCTTCATTTGTACCTGAACCCGGTCCTGATCCGTAAGAACTTCCCGTCCGCATGGGATTGAATGGATTATTTGAGCCGAGATCTGACATGTTTGCAGTGGCGGGATTGTTTTGAACCTCGCCAGTGGCAGCTGTCTGAGTAACGGGCGGGGCATAAAGGGGAGGTGGATCGGCGACTTGCGCCTTTGAGGTTGGCTCGCCGTTAGAAGGGTGTGCATCGGGGACTGGTGGTGCTTCCCATTGTGAGATGCCTGTCTTTAGGTTTACGTAGAACCTGTTAAAAGAGGAGGGGATATCAGAATACGCCCATTTTGGCGTCTTTTGAATGTTCCATTTTTGAAGGATGGTAGCGATCTGGGATGGGAAGGGAGGATCGATGGGTGGGTTGACATACCATTCTTTATACCGGTCGTCGAATTGTGCTTTCCAGCCATCTGGAACGCGGGGTGGTGGGGGCCCTGGAGGGGGTGCGAAGGGCATCTTTCTGTTTCTGTTTTCTGTTTCTGACTATATAGAGTTCCGATGTCGATGGTGTAAAGCAGGGGGGGGAGGAGGGCTGTAGAGAAGTAATTGACTTGTTATAATAATAAAACTTCTAATATTTCCTGTTCATTTGATTTTTTTAAAGAAAGTGGTGAACGAACAATTCGACTGAGACTGAGAAAGAAACAAATCCTCTAATGCCTGTGGGCGTCGTGAGCCATTTTCTAAGTTTCTGGATAAGCAATTGGATTAGGGGCTAGAACCGATTGGCCTCCGGACGGGCGGGGACCTTGGATGACGTCATGATAGCTACGGCTCAGGTTGCCTCAGCCACATTGTGCAGACAATCAGAAGAAGTATGAAAATAAATATGAAGAGGATTGCATGGAAAGGCGTATGCTGAGAGACCTTGCGGTCCAGTCCTATGTATTCAAGAAAGTCCTAAATTAATAGAATCGTAGTAAAACACATCTGCTTTCGATAACCCGTCAGTTTAAGGATCCATCTTCATGTGAAGACTATCAAAGTACGACCATCCAGACAAGTCTACATCTAGTCTTATGGATAAAAAATCAACGCGTATGATACATACATATATCATACACAATTCACCTCCTCCTTCGCTCCGCCGCTCCGCTCTCTCTCCCACTTGCGCTAGCCCCCGCGCCAGCTCTCACTGTCGAATCCAGAGCGGCCATGGGTCCCTGGCTCGTCCCAGCCATCCAGCCAGCAAGATCGAATCCAGCAGCTCCAGGTGCAGCCCCGGCTCCGGCGCCATTGGCTGCGCCGGTAAGTGCGGATTTGCGGGAGTGTCGCTCGAATTCGGCGCGGGTTTCAGGGTCCACTAGTGCACGTTAACGTTTTGCATCGGGTGAGGGAGTGGAAACAAAAGAGGGAATTGAGCATGGAATGGGGAAAGGGAAAACATACTCCGCTCCATTAGATATGGCATTCCAATGGTCACGGCAAGGGCAAAGCCCACGAGGAGAATCATTGGGTTCTTAAACAAGCTCAGCGGGGAGACTGTGATCACGATTCATCAGCATGTTAGCATGTAATTCATCGATTCTTGAAAAGCAAATTCCTCAATTCAGGACAAAACCTTCTCAAGCTCTTCCAATCCCCCTTCAATTCACCCAAGAAACCGTAAATAAATAAATATGTGGAAAAAAAAAAAGAAAAGAAAAAGAAAAAGAAAAAAAAAAGAAAAACTTACACTTAGCCCTCTCCTCATAAAATCCCCTAACACCCACAACCTTCGCCTCAACGATCGCCACATCCACATCCCTAATCACCACCTTCTCCGGCCCCAGATTCTCCCACGCATTCCCGCGATACGTCTCCCAAACACCTACCACCCCGCCCTCCCCATCAACATCAACCCGATACGGCACAAACACATAATCCCGCGACCGAATATCGAGGAGGAAAGACTGAGGCCCCTTTCCGCGGGGGTTGTCGAAGACAAAGGTCGATTTGCGGGTAAGGGGCGCTTTTAGGAGGAGGGACTGGGTCGGGTTGGCGTCGGGGTCTGTTGGGGTGAGGAGGGTTGTGAGGGTTGCGTGGGTGGAGGCGGGGAGGGAGTTGGGATTTGGGAGGAGAAGAGAGGGGGCGATTGTGATTATTAGGAGGGAGGCGGAGGCGGTGGTGGTTAGGAGGGCGAGGAGGGCGAGGAGGGTGAGGAGGCACAGAGGTGTCAAGTGTGGTGATCGTGGGGGACGCATGGTCGGTTAGCGATTGAACAAATGGCACGGCGCGAAGAGTGCAGGGAGAGAAGCAAACAGAGTTCAGATTCTCTGGCCGCTGGATCTTGCTGCCTGCCGGCTTCTCTTCTTTTTTCCCTTGGTGCTGCGGTTGACGGGCTGAGGTGGTGTCTACGCTGTGTAGGTAGTCCCCCGTCTGACCGACCGATGAGAGACGAAGCAACGACGGGGAATCGAACATGCACCCACCTGTTTACTATTTTATTCGGCGGTGTGTGTGTGTGAACGTTTGAGATGGTTTTGCATGGTTTGTCGGTGGCTTATATAAGCCCCCATTAGAACTTGAACTGCCCCTTTTCACCTCCTTTAAGCCCCCCTTTTCTACCCTGGTCCATCGCAAGTATAAAATGATAAACGATTAGAGCCACTTTCACAACAGTAGGATGTTTACATCTGCAGGAACCATTATGCAGCTTAATCAGGCACGAGCCATTCTCAGACGCGCAGGAGTTCAGTGATATAATGCCGGGGCGGTTCAATCTGTACTGGTCCGTCCTATCGGCCTGACACGTTCTCCTTCCGCCATTGTGCAAAGAACAGCAGGCTTGAAAGTTGTCTGTAAAGCCGCCACAACTGAAAAGCCTGATTTTGTAAAGCTTCCAGCTCTTGCAAAACACAATCCAGAGCTCCCCCGAGGATCAACTCTCCGAACACCAGGGAGGATCCCTGGGGCCCTCCAGTCGATGACAGTTGGACAGGGCGGAGGTAACGATTGATAGCTCGATAGAGGGAGTTGACATCTCACATAGGGAACAAGAGGAAGAGAATTCGTACTAGTTTTCTCTCAACTCTACTCGTCCTGAATATCCTGGGTAGCCTTTTTACTGCAGGTTTGGTAATCCGTTGTTTTCCGTGATGGCTGAAGGATTGGCCATCAACAGCCAACGCCGTGTTCTTGGTCCTCGCCTCTTTTGACACCGTCCGGATCACTCAACATTGGACCCCAATGGCAAGAATAGCAAGAAATACCTTCTATAGAGTGAAATCATGGGGATCACTTCCATTTTTTACCGCCCCCCTGAATGAAGTGTGTTGGGACGCCTGGAGACACAGATACATGCCACCGAAGTTGACATGCTAAGGGGCCCATTGACGGTACATTTTGCTTCCCCTTATCCCCTCTCTCGTCTTTCAACTCGTGGAAAGGCGCGTCTCTCTCTCTTTATATATATATATATATATATAGTGTAAATTCCCCACTGCAGGCTTATTGGCAGGGGAAAATAGGCAATCTTTGAAAGTGACCTATTTTGCAGGATAAATATCCAAGCGAAAAGACCGCCGATTGTCACCTGATAAACCCGCAATTGAGCTGCTACTTTGCTCAACACAGACAAGGGCAAAGTTTACTTCTTTACACCGCTATACAACGCTGATTTTCCATTAGGCAACAGTAGTGACCTTTATGTTCGGGCAAGTGCGCGTGGTTCAGGCAACCTGCGATCCGTCTAAACAATACTCCACACTGACGTATGCACTGAGGGGTCTCTATAATCTTAGAATGTCCTTACGATAAGTTTTCAGGTTATAACATAGTGAAATGGATTCTTTGTCCTCCAGAGCTGGCCCGTAGCCTTCCACGAAAAAGTACGAAACCGTGAATTATTCACCAACGTCCACATGTTATGACGGGCTTGATTGCTACGAGACTGGGGCGTATAAATGGCAATGATGGAGCTTTTACTTAGACAGCGTACCTGAATTATACAGGCTGTCTTGGTGATGCTCATGTCATACAATTAACCGTCAGGAACTGCGGTATATATGGTAGCAGGCAGATTAGGTTAGCCTATTTCTTAGCCACTGCGGAGAATGCATTGCAAATGTGAAATATGAAAGCTAAATTCTGCAACAGTAAAACATCTCTCGGAGACTGAACAACAGAGTTTCCCCCCTCTTACTCTCCCAGTCAGTTATACCTCAACAATCAGGCCTGCATGCCGAAAGTGCTCTTCTGCACTTTGTCCCCTTGCATTCACAACTTCAACATATCATTCAAGGAAGAAATCAAATCCTTGCTCCGGACTTTCTTCATAGGAGTGTCAACGCCGCGGGATAAAGGCCTTTGACTCAGCGAAGAGTTCCTCAATATGATTTAAATCTGACTAGTACGGTGGTAAAATACACAAGTTTGACCCGGGCTTGGGAGCACACAATTTTTACCCTCTCCGTGCTGATGAGAGGAGGAACTGTCCAGAACTGATTTAGGTTCAGGCCGTTTCTCAGAATGATGAAGCGGTTACCCCAGTACACATCTCCGAAGACGGATGAGTCATTCGAGCCTAGGAAAACATGGTAAAGATCAATGCAATATCTTGAGCATATGTCGGGAGATACTTGATACCACTGATCTTGCTGGGATTTGGTCACTTGGGCTGGTATGCTTGTCAAAGGAGACCGGCCCTGTTTTTCTGAAGCCGGTGCATTCTATCACAACCAGACTCGTCCACATAAACAAAGGGTGGTACGAACAGAAATCTCAAATAAGATCTTATTAAACATCTCGTAAATCTGCATTTCGCTTTCTACCTTTTTGCTTCAGCAGTCTTTTTTCTTTTTTCTTTCTTTTTTCTTTCTTTCTTTTTTTTTTTTTCCGGCCAGCTGCTGTAGTCAAGTGCACAGCCGATACTGCATGTCATTCCTGGTGCTTAAAACTCATCTCATAGAGACATTGACATTTAGCCAAAGTACAAATGGGGCATTTCAAGGAGATGATCTCAAAGGCCTTGGACTATAATTGGCATGAGGCTCCTTGGTCGTTCTCCTTTACTCCTCGTCCTGCTCTATTCCAGGGGGCTGGAGCGAGGGGGTCCCTCTCACACTGCCAAAAAAGCTCACGCTGCAGAGAAGGCCTCTTGATTACACCCTCAGCGCAACCGGCAGCGCCAACCATCTCGGACGCAGTTAGTTCATCGCGTGCTATAATCCTACGGACAAGCCCCACGGCCCAGGTGTGTTGACGGAGCTAGGAAACTGGCATGTCATCCCTGCGCTGCGCTGCTGTACGAGCATGGTCGACAAGCTCAGCGGCGCGAAGGATTCCTCGTTCCATTACGAAGAAGCAACTCCACTTCCACTTCCACCCAGCAAACTGACAGCGCAGCTCTAACCCACCCATGTACCAAACGCGGCTGTTTGGAAAGACCCGCTGCGGTGATGCTGAGGGGCCCCTCCGGGGGCTGAAGGCTAAATGCAGGTGTGAGATGAGGTTCAATTAAGATTTGGAGGGGCATCCCTACATCTTACATGGTGGTAGATACCGGGGGCCCTAGCTAATTCGCCGGGGCCGGCTGATTTTGTATGAATGTATTGGATGCTGACGGATCTGGGGACTGGGGACTGGGGACTGGGCTGGGTGTGGCATGTTCAGGGCCAGAGGGTTTTCGGGCATTGCAGGGGACAGGGGTGTAGCGAGATGTGAGCTGGGGGTGTTTTTTCTTGTCAGAGACACTTTATATATCTGAACCTCAGGTGGATGCTTGATAGGTAGCGAAGTATTTTCTGTATTAATTCTTCATTCTGTGTAAGAATTGGGGGAGATATTTTTCTTGAGATATTTTTAAGTTTCTGTATAGTAATAATGCGTGTCCCTTTGTATGCACAACACGCACACTTCTCCATATAATGAAGTATTTACATAGTACGTTCGTATATATGTACATATGTCTAATATAACACAAGTGAAGAAAAGAAAAATGAAGAGAAAAAGAAAAAGAAAAGAAAGAAAGAAATTATCAACTGAATAAAACCATCCTCGCAAATGTGGAGAAATGTAGTGAGTCCTTCGAAAATTCAACCCCAACCAAAAAGAAACGAACGAAACGTCTCATCCTCCATCCATCCATGCAGCATTCCATGCCGTACCTTCGAACATGAACTGCAGTGCGACACATGCCACCTGCCACCAGCCATCTGCCATACGAGGCTCCACTACACCAACAGCAACAGAGCGTATGGATCCCACCACACGACACAACAAAACGAACCCGTTGCGCGCGTGTAACCGTAAGCTAAACAAATTACAGCTTCGCCTTAAACCCATTCTTATCTTCAACCGGCACCTGCGCATACAGCTCGTCAAGGATGGTACGGTACATGCGCACCGCCTGCGGGCGTTTGAGTTTCAACCTGCACAGTAGCCGCATTAGCCACGCCCACACATTTGCATATTTTTAATATACCGGGGAAAAGAAAAAGAAAGAAAAAAAGAAAAAAAGAAAAAAGGGCCATCTTCAACTCACGTAGGCGTCAGCAACCCATTCTCCACCGAAAACGGCTCAACCAACAACCTAACCCCCTTCACCCTCTCAAACCCACTAAGCCCAAACTTCCTGCCCACCCGCTCCAAATCCCCCATCACAGCGCCGACAACCCTCTCGTCGTCCGCCGCGCCCCGCAGCGCTGCCGCATCGGCCGCATCGACAGCCCGCCCCAACACCCTCGCCGCAAACGCCGCAAACGTATCCGGCTGCACGCCCAGGATCGCCACGAGGTAATTCCGCACCGAGTCTCCGTGCACGAACGCCTGCGCCAGGTACGAGCAGGCGCTGGTGTAGATGCCCTCGATGCGCTCGGGGGCGACGTACTCGCCCTGCGAGAGCTTGAGGAGGTTCTTGCGACGGTCGATGATGGTGAAGCGGCCGTGGGCGTCGATCGTGCAGATGTCGCCGGTGCGGAACCAGCCGTCTTCCGTCATCGCGGCGCGGGTCTCGGCGGCATTCTTGTAGTATTCTCTGAACATCGAGTTGCCCCGCAGCAGCAGCTCGCCGCGCGGGTGCGGCTTGTCGGTGATCAGGTACTCCATGTCTGGCAGCGAGAGGAGGCAGGCTTCGGTGGCTGGGTGGATGGTGCCGCAGTGGCCCGCGGAGAGGTCGTGGGGCGACTGGCAGAGGCTTGTTGCGTAGCTTTCCGTCAGGCCGTAGCCCTGCACGATGTCGCAGGCGAAGGCGACGCGGAGGAATTGGTGAAGGGATTCGTCGAGTGGGGCGGAGCCGGAGACCATGGTGCGCATACGCTCGAAGCCGAGAGCCGCGGCCACCTTGCGCGACCAGATGCGGTCGTAAAGGAAGTGTTTGTTGGTCGCGGACGAAGGGGGGGCGTGCACGAGGTTTGCCGTCTTGGTCGCGACGACGTGGCGCGACAGAGCGCCCTTGAAGCCTGGAGCTTCGACCGTGGAGGCGCGGATGGCGCTGCCGAAGCGGTTGTATAGGCGCGGCACGGAGGGGAGAACGGTCGGCCGCAGCAGTTTGAAGTCCTCGACTAGCTCGAGGACGTTGCCGTGGAAATAGCCTATGCCGGCGCCGCTCCAGAGGTGCATGTGTTCCATGAGCCGGCCAAAGATGTGTGCTAGCGGCAGGTACGAGCAGGAGACGTCTGTGGGGAATTGCATGCAAGTTGAAAGGCCGGAGGAGGCGGCGGCGACGGCGTTGGCGTGTGTGAGGACGACGCCCTTGGGGTTGCCGGTGGTGCCGGAGGTGTAGTTTATTGTTATGATGTCGGAGGGGGAAGGGGGGTTGGCGGGGCGGTTGAGGGAGGCGCCGAGGGTTTCGACTTCGGTGAGGGAGAAGATTTGGACACCGGCTGCAGCGGCGAGGGGGGAGAGGATGTCACGCTTTGAGAAGCCGGGCTGTTCGCCGGCGTCGAGGGGGTCGAGGCAGACGATGAGTTTTAGGGAGGGGAGCTGCGGCTTCAGCTCGATGAGGGTTGCGATGTGGGGGAGCGAGGTGACTACGCAGGTCAGTTCGGCGTTGTCGATGATGTATTGAGTGGCGTCTGCGCCTAGGGTTTCGTAGAGTGAGACGGTGTATAGCGATTGAGACATGCACGCCAAATCTGGGTGGATGTTAGAAGCCTCCCGATATCTCCCATAGCATACATATTATGAAGAGGAGGAACACACCTGTAAGCTGCCATTCCGGTCTGTTCTGGCACCAGATCCCAACACCGTATTGCTTCCCTTGCACGCCAATGCGGTTGTGGAGCTCTACAAGGCCAACCCCAAGAGCTGCCCGCCGTTTCTGCACGGTCCGATAATCCATCCACTGATAGGGGCCGAATTCCTTCTTCTCAGGGTCCCACGGGCGGGATCCGAGGCAGTTGTTTTTGGGATATCGATTGGCTAGTGATGAAGAATCAGCATTGAAATATAATTTTATTTTATTTTATTTTATTTTTCACTTTTATTTTTTTTCTTCTATTTTTTATTATGGACATACCGGCAGACTCGAACATATCATGGGCAGTGAGGACCTGAGCCCAGTTAACATTCCTGTCAGCGCATTCCCACAGAGATATTTATATAAAGTAGGTTACAGAAATACACATACCAGCGGGTCCAGGGTCTTGAGCAGCTCGCCGCTGCCAATCTTCCAATGGCGATAAATAGGGGTGCGACCAGGTTTTTCGGTGCCCGGGATAATTACTGATGCCGGGGTTCCCTTTGGCGGGGGGCCGGCATAGGCCTGACCGGCAGTTGTCATTGGGTTTTGGGAGAACATGGCGATGCTTTTTTGTGTTTTTTGATTTATGTTATATTCTGCGTCGAGAGAGAATGGATGGGGGAGGGAGCGAGCGAGCGAGCGGATTGGATTGGATTGGCAGCGGCAGGGGCCTCTGGAGAGAGTGGACAGCTTTCCCCGCGCGGGGCGATGAGTTTGCAATTATGCTGTACAAGAGAGGAAGAATTGAGGGGGGGCGTGTGGGAGAGGGAGCGGGAGCGGGAACGGGAGAGGGAAGAGAGGAGGAGAGAGGAGGAGAGAGGAGGAGAGAGGAGGAGAGAGAGGAGAGGAGAGAAGAGGAGAGGAGAGGAGAGGAAAGGAGAGGAAAGGAGAGGAGAAGGACGAAGGATGTTGGATGGTTGAGGGATGAGAGGAATAAAATGTAGAAGCGAAGAAACGAACGAATCAATGAGAGAAGAAAAGAAAAGTTGAAGGCGAATAGAAACAAGAACAGACAACATGGCATGGCGCCCGAACCGTGGTGGGAGCCATTCAGCACATCCACATCCAACATCCACATCCACATCCCATCCACATGCACTGATTGGACCCGGGCAAGGGCCAAAGCCACAAGCAGGCTTGGAACCGAAACCGAGCCTGAGCACAAGAACCCATATCTTCCAGCGGCGAGCCACACGTTCGCGCGAACCAGGTACCGGGCGGGTATCCGCCGACTCCGCTTGCAGCGTCCCATGTTCCATGCTTGCGATGGTATGGTGCGTTCGTTCCTCCATCCTGTGGCCCGCGGCGACATCCCACACGACGGCCCTCCGCCATATGTGTTCTGTGGCGTTTTCTGGCTTGGCGCGCTGGGGAGCACGGAATAGGGGATGGAATAGGGGAGGATTGGGCGTGGATTGGACATGGATTTGGACGTGGATTGGACGTTGGATTGGGCTGGATTGGGGGCCGGAGTCCGCATTTGGGGCATCCCAGGGGCGGCGATTGGCTGGGTCAGATACACTTTGGGTCGAGCAACGGTACGGCGGGGGGCGTTCCACACGTTCAGTGCGTTATCTTGACCTTTTGACTGTTTGGATGCACGAAATGGCCGAGGTTCAAGATTTCAAAAATTCTCCTGCTGCACGAACCGGGCCCGTCGGGCTCTCGGGATAACCCACGTCCTGCCCCATGTATTTATCCATTTCATGTTGTTTGTTGTTCCTTTACTGCTCATTCTCGTCGGAGTGCAGCACCAGGACGATCGAAACCATATCGTCGGCGCGCGTGCTCTCTGGCTTCAGTTGCAGGTCGACCGCCAGACTAACTAACTACTGCAGATGCCCCATGTCAGCGCATCCTCGTCGCCCGCCAATAACAACCGTCCTGAGCCTCCGTCGACCGCCGTATCCCAGCACGTCTCCCAACCCTGGGCAACTCAAAATACGATCTCAGATTCTTCGTTCCAAGGACCCAAGATCCAATTCGCCAATCTGCACGTTTAGTGTCGCTGCTCGCAGAGTCGGGTGTCAGCACCTTTTTCCAACCCTCTCCAAGTTCAAATCAACACCGGCAGTTCCTCTTGTCAGTGCTGATACCCCCCCCCCCCCCCCCAAACCTCCAGACGATGGATGTGACGGGCGTTGTGCAGGTGGCATGTGCCGGCGCACTGGGAGATGCGGCGAACCTCGGCCCATGCAGCTCGCAACTATAATAGAGTATATAGTTAGTTATACTATAACCTTGGTAGAGCAGTCGTTGACTATCTATCCCCAGTCGAGTCTCCTGCCGCCAACTCTGGAACCGACGCCGTCCGTCTCCCATGTGATGCCGGCAGCCAGCAGCCCGCATCAGCAGCAGCCAAAGTACAGGCCAATTAACCCCCTCGTATACGCTGATTTTAGCTTCAGCTTCACAAAAAACCCTCAACAGTTACCTCCCCCCCCCCCCCCCAAACACAACATGAATATTCCTGCTGCTGTGGTGACTGATTTTGTCTTGCGGCAATGAAAGAGGCTAACTAACTGATGACCGATCATCCATGACGTTGTTAGTAGTTCTCCCTCCTTCGCCTCAAACTTCCCCTTCCCTACACCCCTTGCACCTGTGGGGTCTGGGGTTCTGGGGTTCTGGGGTTCTGGCGGACGGGGAGAGGTCGAAGCGGGAAACGCGCTGCTGTGGATGAATCGCAAGATGAGGAGACGAGGCGGGCTCTGTGTGTGGAGTAGTTTCATCAAATGTAGAATAAATTGCTGGAGATGCGACCTGAACATTGCAAATGCGACACAGGTGGAAAACCATGAATGCTGGAAGTGCGAGAATACGCACCACAATGAGCTTCTGGGATGAACACGACCCAATGGCTTCGAAAGTAGAGTGTATATTAGTATGCCTGGCCATGTATCTTTACGTGCAGTGTGGTGTGGTTTTGTGGTGCTTGACTCCACCTCGATCAAACGATGAAGGGAACATTCCGTCAAGCCCCTTCGACTCAGGACTTTACTACAGCAGATAAAATTACATTTCTACAAAACAACCCGGATTAACCCAGCCAACCCAACCAACATGCACAGTTCAAGGAGAGGGAGAAGAGCCGAAAGGGCCCTCGCCAAAAACCCAAGACAAGGAAATCTGCTGTTATATTTATTTATTTATCTATTATATTTTTGAAGTAGCAGGCTGGTTTCTCGTGGAGTGTCATCACCGTCACTGCTACAGAGACACCACCACCCTTTTCGCCCTGGAAATCTTCCACCGACACCAGCCTCGCAGATGTCGTTTTGCTTGATTGCGTCTCTCCTGGCTGTCTCGCTAATACTTGTGGGCCTTCCATGACGGATTCTTTACTCCGCGGGGTTCCTGGTCGACCAGTTCCGCGATGGTCATGGTCATATAAGAAGAGGAGGAGGAAGTAGAGGAGGAAGAAGAGGAAGAAAGAAGGGGGGGGGAAAAACGTCGATAAGATATCCAACCACGTTGGACACAGGCGGTAGGTGGCTAGGACACTTCCGACGCAGCCACACCTTATTTACTTTTCCACCAACTCTGAAACCGCCCCCAAAAGTCAAATATTCCAAATCATGTCCCATGGAATGGACGGATCCTCAGGCAAACGCCGGCTTGTTACATTGTGGCCTAGAGAGCCACCTGGACCCCCTTTTGTCAAACTTGTACCGCGGACATCTGTATTTCTATTCCAAGTGTGGTGGTATTAACGATGCCGTTGATGTTTGGTGTCCGGACAGCAAACCCGGTCCAGAGCGCCCACGAGGCCCTTTCACCGCATGTCGAAACCTATATGCTAGTTAGCCCTTAGTTTTCGTTATAACCTTCCAGGCAGGACGTAGAACATCTGATCCCCTCTTTCTTTCAATGCGATCTCATGACGTTCTCTTGACACGCAACGGAACAGGGCCCGGCATATTTTGATCACATTTATTGCATGCGGCTGCTTGGGTTCTTGTTGTCAATCGTTGCTGATCTTCTCGGGTGAAATGGCAGAGTGTTTGTTCACTGTGGGTTCTTTTGTCGAGCATTGGACCCATCCCTAGGAATCCTGTTGGTCTCGGTCAAGCAGACCTGAAACCATCGCACAGCTATCTATCTGGCGCGGCATTCAACATTGTCCATTGTCCTAGCCAATTGCTCCAAGGGTTTTCCGAATCGCGTCCAGAGATGGGGTGAGCCCGGGGAGAAGTCTAAACCATTGTCTAGGGTCCCAAGGACTTTGGGGGCGTTGGGAAATCCCATCGGTAAATTCGAGAGATAACCGACCACACTGCTAGCCCAAACACCAACTACCAAGTACATTCCTGGACGGCATGAAGCTCTCGGGGCCAGCGTACGTGTGGGCGCCGCAAAAAGGTCGTCAGAGGATCTCGGCTGGCAAGCCCGAAATCAGAAAGCAGGAGAATGAAAGGATCGGCGGGATTTTTATGAGGATATTTGATGTCTTTGATGTTTGCTTCAGGAATCTGGCAGGCTCATCAATGAAACATCTTGAGGAGCCAGGTCTTGAAGAAGCTGTTCGGGTATTCCCAGGCCAATATATCCATTCCATCACAAGACAAAAAGTCTTGAACCACTCTCCCCTTCTTTCCTCCCCCCCCGGGACAACCTTGTCAACCACACAAACGTTATCATCCTGAAAAAATTGTTAGAAGGACCCATAGAATTATATATAGTTGAATGACGGGCATACAAGTTTCATATTGCGGAATATCTCAATCTCCCTGAGCAAAATTTGTTTTTCGACTTTCTCATTAGCAGCAGGACTGGCCTTCCAAAGGCTCTCTAATGACTCCACCGCGTAGAAGAGTCCAACTGCATCAATTGCCTCATGAACTGTGCCACACATTCCCCTTGCCGGGCGTTTCAAGTCGACAGATTTTGCCAGGTTCCATGTATGTTACGACATTTGGCTGTCCCACCAATTCGTGGGATCATTTCCTCCCCCCCTCTTCTTAACATTTCAGCCTGTTCTCGTTCAAAGCTTGCTGGTCCCTCTTCCTCAGCCTGGGTTCGTTGGGGCAAAGAGCGCTAGCACTTCCTGGATGACATCCCCGGAAACGAGCGTCAGCTTTTTTAACCGCAAGCCCGTGCCATGACTGGATGTATCAGTGATGACAAGCGCCCACCCCCTGATTCCCAGCTGAAGTCAATGTAGAAGTGGACGGACATGACTTTATTCCGTTGTTTGGACGTCTTGTCAGCGAGAAGAATATCGCCAGGTCTTCTCATCACTTCTGAAAGCGAATCTGCGCAGCGGATCGATTGGCTTCGTGGTCCTCCAAGAGGGGCGTAATGAGCTGTTGTTCTGTAGCATCTGGGTCAGCAAGTGTCCGTTTGTAGCTTTTGTTTCCTGCCTCGTTCTGGCGCTGTAGAGGACCTGTGTGCCAACAACACGGAGCCTATCGTGTTGAAAGTCCCAGCACGGCGAAGGCTGCAGGTGTTATCATGTGATCTTAGGGTTGTAAAGGCCCATGTTGAAGAAGCGAGAGAAGTGAGTTAAAACATAAACTTCAACTACGGGACTGGAGAAGTGAGCAAATGCCCCAATTCATATATATTAGGCCATAGGGGAGGGGGAAAGCGGGTTGATATATATGACTCTGTGTTGAGGCTTGTCCAATGGGGGCGGGTGCCACGGATCCCGTCGCGTGAGAGCTGTTTTTACATTAACTATACAAAGCCGCTGCCTATGCTCTGTCTGGCTTTTCAGCCAATACATACATGCGTTTCCCTAACGACGTTGTAGCCGCTATCCGTGTCACCGTCGGGTCTCCCGGAACTGGGCAGGATAGGAAACGAGAGAAGAAAGAAGGTAGTTGTTCATTAACACGTGTCATTGGAGGCGGGGATCGACGTTTTGTTACCCGTCAAATAAGCCCTCCATCAGCCAGGGGTCATAGAGTTACAGCCTCCTCTGCGGTTGGTCGCTCCTCAGAGGGACCCAGCAGAGCATCTGCCTCAACGAAGTGCAGGAATCCAGCTTTATCATTGCCTGGGAGCCGTTGTTCAAGCTTCTCAAGACTTATATCAGGAATTGGCGCAAGTCCTCTCCAGTTGCCTATCCATTGTGTATCAGTAGATGACGACGTGCTGGTATAGAAACATGAGACATGGTGGGCGTTCAACAAACCAGTTTCATCAGAATACCTCAGGAGGTGGGAATCAATTGCGGCTCCAGAGGAGGCTGCGAATACGCTCTCCGAAGAACCCTGAGATACGGAGGGGAGAGAACAGTATGATATGATCCTTAGCTAATGTATTGGTGTTGCACGCTGATGAATATTAGAGCAGGGTAGAATTTTTACTTCTCGTTTGAGGTGGCAAGGCACGACCCATGGGATGTTCGGTTCATCCATGCTAAACCAGAGCTAAGCAATTGGAGAGAGTAACTAACTTCTCTGTAACTCAATTAACTACTCTGTATGGAGAGGTGGAAAAAAAGATCCTCACAAATTGCGAGAAATTTATCTTGCATTATGAATGCTAGAATCGAATAATTCCCTACACCATGGCTCCAGGCAGGTTATCGGGCCGTGAAAGCCTCTTTTATATAGGCATTGATTAGTGGATGATCAGTTACAGTAGTTATAGCCGCCATAGGGCTAAGAGAGCTCTATACCTCTGGCTCCTGTAACAATTTGGGCAGTGCGCACGTTAAGCGTTTCTCATTAAATTTCTGGGGGTGCCCAGGAAGTTTTGCTCCATGCTCTTTGTACAAAGAGACTTCATTGCTCAATGAAATAAATAAACCTGTCGTAATCCTGCATTACTGATATCGCAATAATAGCAAATTTCAATGTCTTCTGTGCTAGCCTGAGCATGTTGGAATAACTAACTGCTGGTTAGACAGAGGTTCTGACAAGGCAAAAGCGATTTGCACAGCGGGTTGTATAATGCAAACAGTTCACGAAACAGTCCGGAGTAAATGAACAGTTGGGATGGCTGATATAAAGAGCGCGCTATTTGTTCCCAGTACGACCTGCCATTGTGCATTCTGGAAGCATACAGTGATCGATTTCTCCGTTTTCGCAAAATCTCGTCGGCTGCGGCGTAGAGCAAGAGACCATGGAAATAAGCTTCCGAGCAGGCACTTGATTTGACCGTTCGACGATCTTTGGAGAGTTCGCTGGAAATCCATCTAACTCACGTCAGCATTATTAAGTAATTGTTAGTTAATCTGAACAAGGCTAATGTAATCAATAAGCAAGTCAGCCACATAAGCAAGTCGGCCATTTTTCATCTCATCCCAGAACAACATCTTCATCATCAAAAATGTCAACCACACAAAGAAATAAAGCCTCTACTCAGGAAGGAAGGCTTCTTTTAGCCATTCAAGCATTTAAAAATGGTCAAATTTCAAGTGTATGAGCTGCAGCAAAGCTGTATGATGTTCTACATTCCACTCTAGATGATTGGGTACATGATCATACAGCATGCATTAACACTTCTCCAAAGAACTGGAAACTTAGTCTTACAGAGGAAGAATCTCTTGTTCAATGAATTCTAGTCATGGATGAATGAGATCAGTCTCCTCAGGTTACAGCTGTATAAAAAATGATCAATCTTCTTCTTGCTAGCTGAAAATTCAATTCTTCATTAACAGTGAGTGAATATTGAGTACAAAACTTTGTCAAGCATCATGATGAGCTGAAATTCAAGTTCTCACACAAGTATGATTGTCAGTGAGCCTATGTGAGAATCTTGAAGTTATCTGTAAGTGATTTAGACTTATACAAAACACTATTGTGAAGTATGAAATTCTGAAAGATAATATCTACAACTTTGATGAGACTGAGTTTCAGATAAGTGTAATTGAGACTGTCAAAGTGATGACTGAATCTGAAAGAGTTGAAAATCCCAAGCTTGTATAGTCTGAAGATCAGAAATGAGTGACTATTATTGCTGAAGTCAATGCAACTGACTGAGCCTTATATATAATGATTATTCTCAAAGAAAAGATGCATCAATTCTGTTAATATGAGACAGAAGAACTACCATGTAACTGAGTGATTAAAGTCAGTGAAAATGACTGAATCACTGATCAGCTGAGCTTATACTGACTGAAAGAGATGTTCAACAAGAAGATTCTATTCTATACAAAGAGTAGATATCAACTATTGATTTTAGATTGATATCAAAGTTATGCCTTAGCTGAATTTAATCAATTTTATACTGAGAATTAGATCATTATTCTCTATATGTCATCACATTTCTCTCATTTTCTTCAGTCATTGAATGTTAGCTGCTTCTCACCTCTAAAAACTACATATAAATAGCAGATAGAAAACTAAATGTGGCTTGAAATCAATCATATTAATAAAAAAGAGTTTTTAAGTTTCTATTCTGCAGCTCAGATGCAGGTTCTGACTGAAAGCAATATCAAGAGCAGCTTTAAAGTTGCTGAACTGATTTCATATGATTCTGAGTAGATTTTCTCACAGTTTAATATTATAATGCATATTCTCATTCTCTTAGAGATTTCTTACAGCTTCTAGACCTCCTAGACCATAGTCACATCACATAATATACATCAATTAAAGCAGCAGGCTGAGAAAGTTAGAGAATATATCAAGCATCATATGCAGAGCTCACTCAGTTCAATCAATCATGCTCTAAGTCAACTGATCAAGAAATGTCAAATGACAATACACAGTGCTGCTATTCTAGTAGCTGAAAACAGAGAGTTAAGAGCTGCAAATGTCAAACAAAAGAAGAAGTGAGAAAGAGACTGTATGTATGTAGCTCAAGAGAGTGCTTTGAGAATTGAAGAAGACTTGAATTGTATATAAAGAATCAATAAATAAAAATAGAAGGTAGTTGAGACTACTGAATCATGATCACAAAAATATATAGCACCACAGTGTAGTGTATATGAGATTATTGAGCATACTGCCTGTACATGCTCTAAGTGTATAGGAAATAATTTATAATGTAATTTGCTAGTTTTTCTTTGTAGTTGAGACTTTGAAGGCATTCTTGTTGTACAGTGGAGAGGAAAGTGGCTGACTCACTTATGTGGCCGACTCGCTTATCGATTACGTTATCTCAAACCTTGCAGTCCAGAGCCTTTAGCTTCTCCTCGTTACCAGGGTTCTGCGTATCTAGTTATATCATCCGAAGCGACTTTGCCAACAACATCTAATGGTTGCCACGGCTGGTGGTGGAAAAACCGTGGACAGGAGTCGCACTCATTTGTAGGAAACAGAAATGCTTTCAGTCTGCTTAACTCCGTACTATCAATGAGAAAACACATCTGCAGTGTAGAGGGTGGGCAGTGGGAGATAATCGAATCTATTGCTGCTACACACTTGGAAAACATTCGATTTCATTCTAAGTCATCCCGCATAACGCCTGTCTCTAGAGTTACCTTGCTGGGTTTGATGATATCTCAACAACACAGGTAGATTTTCGTATTATATATTAAACATTGAAATTAGGCACAGATCTTATGTTTAATCCTCAATATGACCTGAGAGTTTAATAACTTATCTTGGACATGAAACTCAGCAATATGTTATTTATTCCCTGCTCTTCTATAATAACATCTCCTAAATTCTTATAAGTAATATGTTAAAATTATATATATACAAGTCTGTTTTTTTAATTTAAGACTTAGAAAGAGCTACTTTCTTTTAAATATCTCTACTTTAATCGTTGTTCTTCAAATAAAATAGAGGAAATAAAAGTTCAGAGTAAGTATAAGTCAACAGATTATAGAGAATCCAACCTGGTATTGATTGAGCTGCTCTAATCCTTCTTCATATTTTACACTAATTGAAATCACACTGATTCTGGCAACTCTTGACAGATAAGAGAATAGGACAAGAATCACAACACACATACGCAAATTCACCTCTTCCATATCTTTTCTCACTCACATCCTCACCCTCTTTCATTTCTCCTTCATTTCCCTCTATCAAAAAGTGCACAAGACCAGCAGGGCAACAATGATAGTTTTGCTGACACTGATGTCCCCAGGGTCCATTCAGACTGTGGGACGTAAAGACGACCGAAAACACAACAACTTGAGAGCAGGCTCAAGCATAACAGAATATGAAAATTGGAATAAACACAAAAAGAGAGCGAGAAAATAGACATGGAGAAACAAGGTAGGAGAAACAAAAAACTGGAGAATAAATTATACACATGACTAGCCTAGGAATAAATGAGATGGTGTATATGTGCCTGCTCAACTGTATAGTTACATAAATGATTTCAGTTAGAGGTGTCCGGCGGGGATCTGAAGTGTAGCCGGCCTGGTGCAGAAAATTGTCGCCCATACACTTCCTGTACCCAGGTAGCAGATAGGAAGCAAGCAAGTAATAAGAGCAGATATCTTCCCCAGCTCCGTACTCCGGTTTTCTTTTCCATGCTGTGTTGCGCCTCGCACTTCTCCTCCCCCTTGCCTTACCCCCCGCCCTATCTACCACTGTATTTCAAGTCTTTCGTGTTTTTATTTTAAAAATTCAAATGAACCTTCCTATCATGTCTGATATGCAGACCTTTTTGTCCATGCACGGGTAGAAAAAACAATCTAACAAAGAAGAGAAGGTGGAAATGATGAAATTGAGTTTTACTTCTTTGCTGGGGCGTTCTGGATGCGTTCCTTGGCAGCATATTTTTCGCTGCTGTAACCAGTGATGGGGTCCAGTTTTTCTCTCTGTTCGTCGTGTCGGATGGTATTAGTTCAATGATAACACTTAAACGGGATTAAGGGGGTGCTTTATATTTCCCCCTTTTTTTTTTTTTTTTTTTTTTTTTTTTTTTTTTTTGTTGTTGTTGTTTTGTTGGGAGAAGGGGGGGGGGGGTGACGCACCTTGGCGTATTCGATGGTGGCCTCCTGCCATTCCTTGCTCAATGTCTTGGGTGGTGGGTTTGCGAACATGCGGATAGTATAGAACACGATGAATGAGATGGCGACGTATTTCATTACTTGCACGAAGATTTTCATGCCCTCGCCTTTAGGGGTTTCGGCACGGGGGCCATGGGGACCGAAGGCGATGTAGTAAGCTGGAAAATTGATGGTTAGTCGTTATTGTTTTTACTCTTCTTTTGTGAAGGAGTATTCATCCATTGGGTCATATTTTATTTCATTATTCAATTTTTCCCCCCTTTCTCCAGGTATGAGAAGTCTGGAACGTGGGGTGAACGTGGGGTAAATAGGTAATGCTCTTAGATACCGGGGGTCCTCAATCAAAGCTATGACTTATAATCAATAGCTTTTATCCCTGGATGTCTGCGTTGTAGTTGTGTCCAGCACCTCCTCGAAGGTCCGCAAATACTAAGGACGAATCTTACATCTCACAAAGACAACGCAACCACCAAGTATTCCAGGGACAGCAAGGGGAAAAACACACCAAAAATATGGGAAAAAATAAATCAAAAAAATCAAAAAAAAAAAAAAAAAAAAAAAAAAAAAAAAAAAAACACATACCCGCCTTCTTTTCTTGCATCGTCATCTCGTGCCAATCGACCTTCATCCGATCTCTCAACTGCATCCACAACTCCGCCTGCTCCTGCGGCGGCATAGACTCCCACCGCTTCTCGATGCCGGCTAGTGTCGGATTGGCAATGGCATGTTCAGCCGTAGCCATTGAGCGGCTCTGTTGGCTCCTGGATGAGAGGCCATTGGCGCTCTGGGTGCGGCCAGCATTAAGGCATCGGATCGAGGAGGAGGAGGAATAGGCTATGATGGGTCTGGTGCAAGTTCGGGTTGACGCGGCGAGGCCTCTTGGTATTGCGCGGAAGGGCATTGCGGGAAGGGAACGGGAAAGAGAACGAAAATTAAATAATACAGAGAGGGAGGGGTGCGGAGGGGCCAATGGCTACGATATAGAGCTAGATGGCGCTCAGAAGGGTGGTTGGAAATAATTGGGATCTGATTGCTGTTGGAGATGTTGACGCTTGGGAAAATTGTGGAGGACAATGGGAGGGTTATGTAAGCTGTCCTTGGTTGCCTGGCCGAAAGGGGAAAGGCTCGCCTTGCTGCTGCCGATGGATGAGTCAGCACCTCTTGATTGGCTGCGCGCCGTCTCCGGAAGTAAGCAGAAGAAGGACAAGCGAATCGTACGATACTTTACATCATCCATGTGCATTCGTTAACTGACTGACTGGTTAACTAATAGTTAACTGAATGCTTAGGAAAATAAGCAACATAGTTTTGATTGGAAGGATGTTTATATGAAAGACAACCCATGGGTACTCGTATCTTTGATCTTCTATTATTCATTTTGTTTTCTTTTTTTTTCTTTTTTTCTTTTTTTCTTTTTTTCTTTTTTTTTTTTTTTTAATTCGGGATCTAGAAAAAGTAGACAATTTACTTGACCATCTTTGAAAACAAAATTGGTCTTTCAACAGCATCTCGCCACCACAGGAATAGCAAAAGAAAAAAATAGAAAAAGGGAGGGGAGGGGTGGTCGTCACAATTCGTTAACAAACAGCACCGTGGTTTTGGGGTGGAGAAGTGTGTACACTTGGTAGAAGGAAAGCAGGTGGAAGAGAAACAAAGAAACAAATCAGTCCCGTTCGATATCAAACCCACATATCCCCATGTGCATGACAATAATCGTGTGAAGTAAGGCAACGGAGGCAGAGCAAAATACTTCGTAGCTTAAGAGTTAGTATCCCCAAGCCCGAACTATACAGTATGTCATATCACATTACAACTGTTTGTTATTCCCACGTGTATCAATGCTGGAGGAGGTCACCCACCTTTTCCCAACAAATCCACCTAATACGTAACATCAATCAAGGAGCTCTGTGGAACAAGGTCAAGAGACGCAAGTCAACATCATGCGTTCACAGTTGCAAAACAAAAACGAGTTCGGAAGAGTAACTAGAACAACTAGCTAAGAAGTAAATAGAGCAACGCAGAGCAAAACCGCAAGATGGAATTAAGTGGAATAGAATACTATCAGTCTCAACCGCGTTGCTTTCCAATACAAGCTACTTCGAACTCCTTCCATTCCAGGGCCGCCTTGTCGTCTGTCTGGATGGTGACCTGCGGGTTCACGAGTTTCTTGAAGTCTGATAGCGCCGAGCCGTAGAGCATGGAATACTGTAATTTGGGCGTTAGTAGATGCAGACGCAGACGTATTCACGTATCAATTCATGCGGGACATGGCACTTACGAAAACGTGACATCCCTCAGGAACCCAGGAAATAAGTGCTATCTTGTTACTGTTGTCCGGCGAATAAGTAAAGGGGGTTAGCTTCTGTTAGAATCATTGTTGCAGCTTCGCGAGATATGGGCAAACACCGTAATTATTGAGAGGGAAAAAAAAAAAAGAAAGCTTACCGCTTCCCATCACTTCCAAGGTCAAATTCGCCAGAGAATACCCCGTATCGTGGGCCGGGGTGATTCCCATCTTCATCCTTGGCCTCCAGAAGTTTTTCGCGAAATTCTTCGTAATCGCCTTGCGCCGACTCTACGTCGACGACTATCTCATGAGATTCTTTCTTGCGACCCGTGATTCTGAAGATGACAAATTTCAAGCGGTCCTTCGGGTCGATGCCTCTCAGCCTCTCGAGAGCTTTGGTGCTCGCAGCGTCCAACGGCAATCTATTGAATGATGGATCAGATTTTATTTCAATTAATGCACAAAGGGGAGGTCTTGTCTCTAATTGCACGCATGGCCTCCTGGCAGAACCCCATTCTAAAGAGTAGACTGATATTACTCCGCCTTTGCGTGCAATTAAATACATTCCTGAATCCCCGCAAATGTCGGCTGACAGAAACGAGGGGAAAGGGGGACCGTACACTAGACCCTAAGCAAACAGTCACCAATATCAGCAATCTGCACATTTAAAGACGTTGAAATGAACCCCCAAGATGAATGGTATAAACACCGAGCTACCCGATGCCCGCAACACACTTACAGATGACATGGTTGCACGCCTGAATGAAATCTGGGACAGGATATAGCAGATGTATGTATTCTAGTTATAGTCCTGGAGAGAGGGATGCAGAAAGCGGGCAAGAACTAGGAAATGCAAGGCGAGAGTTAGCAGGCGACAACTCCAGAGCAGTAGCGGGCCTTGCATCTCAGTATATTTCAATGAGAGTTGGGTATCCATCTGTGTGGAAGTTTACGAGACCAGTGTGCGGAGGGCGTTGAGACGACAGGACTAGATGCAACGACTCCAACGGCAGTACAGAGGTCTGAAGGGAGAAACAGGGGTTTCACATACCTCGTTGAGGTAGAAGGTGAGAGAGGTGTAACAGTGCAGTGGAAGTTGAAGCGCGAGTTGAAGGGAACTTGGAAGGGAGAAGTGAGGGAATGGAGGGGCTATGCTGTTGTTGATCGCGGTGGATTACAAACCGTTGGAGCCACGCATAGATCACTGTATGCACACGGCCCCGCAGGCAAAAGCAAATTTGGCGGTGACGGAAAATTTGGCAGCCTGGACTGGGCTACGTATGCCTCTTTTGCAATATCCAGGAAGACATACGGAGAGCAGATACCTAGGTATTCATGGTGAGTGCATGAATAGACACATTGCATACAGGTCACAGGCAGCAGCCAATTCCTCGTCCTTCTATTATTTCGCTGTTATTAAGGATGCCGGCAATGTGTGCGGGCCGTGGATGTTAATCTCATTCAGTGCGTCGATTTAACTTCGTCGGAATTTTCTTGAAGCTAGATGACTAAGCAGTCTGATATCAAAACATAACATACACACATTACCCTTGCATATGTCTCTGCATTGCCATTTCTGAAAGAGATATAATTTTGTATAGCAGCTGCTTGCAAATACTCCTCTTTTTTCCTCCGTTGCCCTTTCAAGCTCTCCCCACATGTGCCAGCGATGGAGCAAATTGAACGGGGAGCGCGGACTAGGGGGGAAGTAGGATTTACAAAGGAAACCAAGTCTTTGGGAAGTCGAATATGTATCTAAGGAAGAAGAAACTGAATATTTCTCTCCAGTCGACCAGGAATTTAAAAAATCTCAAAGTCTCAAATGAAAATCACGTACTAAATCAGCTTCGACGTTGTCGCTCTAAATATTACTATCTGGGAGAGTGCTAGGTATACAGAGGCGAAATGGTAGGTAGGAAGTAGTGCGTGAGGGGAGAGTGACTAATTGTTGATGGGTGGTGTGGAGTGGAGAGGTTTCTTCTATCTTAAACCTGATGGAGAGGGAAGCGGGTGTGCGGGAAATGCACAGGTTTGTAGTAAGTGTGGCTGGTTATGTACGGGGAGGTAGGTGGATGGGGTGGAAGAGAGGGGTGGGGTTATGATTGAGCTAAGGGGAACCGAATGAGAGAGAGAGAGACAAAGCAAAGATGCAAAGGAGCAATATGGAAAACACCCTGAATGACGATAGGTTGGTAGAGTACATAGATAGGAAACACAAAAGGGGAAGTAACATCGGGATCAGCTAGTTAACACACGGAGGACACAGAAAAACAAAAGAAAAGGAGATAGGTTTTTCCAATAGAGATACAGAGAAAATGAAAAAGGAAATAGGCTGTTCCGCCTTTCTTCCGTGTCATGTTAAGACGCAATTTATCGAAGCGAAAAAAAAGAAAAGAAAAGGGCAACACAAACAAGAAACAGATGGATAGGACACTGCGTTAGATTCAACCTTACACATCAACGAATTCACCCCTCCCATTCCCGTCCCTTACCTAGAACATACCCCCGCCCATACCGCCCATGCCACCACCCATGCCACCCGCACCAGACCCAGCAGGTACCTTCTCCTCCGGCGCCTCAACAATCGCCACCTCCGTGGTCCCCAACAACGACGCGACCCCGCTAGCATCTACCAGAGCCGTCCTCACAACCTTCAACGGATCCACAATCCCCGCCCCTATCATATCCACATACTCCCCCCTCGCACTGTCGAAGCCCCGGTTGAAATCGCCCGCGAAGTCGTCCGTCAGTTTCCCAACGATAACGGAGCCCTCAAGCCCGGAGTTTTCGACGATGGTGCGCGCGGGACGCGTGATGGCGTTCTTGATGATGGAGATTCCGAGTTTCTGGTCGAAGTTGGTCGGGTTGAGGGATGTGAGGCCGTTGGCAGCGGCTTTGAGGAGGGCCGTGCCACCGCCGGGAAGGATGCCTTCTTCGACGGCGGCGCGGGTGGCGTTCAGTGCGTCGACGACGCGGTCCTTTTTCTCGCCTACTTCGATCTCGGAGGCCCCGCCCACTTTAATTACGGCGACGCCGCCGGAGAGCTTGGCGAGGCGTTCTTGGAGTTTCTCCTTTTCGTAGTCGGAGGTTGCTGGATCGGAGATGACGGAGCGGATCTGCTCGCAGCGTTGGGCGATGGCGTCCTTGCTACCTTCACCGTTAAGGATGATGGTGTCTTCCTTTGTGATAGTGATGGAGCCAGTGGAGCCGAGCATGTCTGGAGTTGCTTTTTCGAGTTTGAGGTCGAGCTCGTCGGTGAAAACAGTGGCATTGGTTAGGATGCCGATGTCGCCAAGGATGGATTTGCGGTTGTCGCCAAATCCTGGGGCTTTGACGGCAGCAACTTGCAGTTGGCCCCGGAGCTTGTTGAGGATACAGACGGCGAGGGCTTCACCTTCGATGTCCTCTGCAATGATAACGAGAGGGCGTCGGAGACTTGTGGAGGCTTCCAGGGCTGGAATAATATCTTGGACTGCAGAGATTTTCTTCTCAGAAAGCAGAATCAGGGGCTTCTCAAATTCGACCTTCTGCGCCTTGGTATCGGTAATGAAGTATGGGGATACATAGCCACGGTCGAATCGCATGCCCTCGGTGACCTCTAACTCATCGTCGATGGTCTTTCCGTCCTTGACAGTAATAACACCTTCCTTTCCGACCTTCTCCATGGCATTGGAGATCAGCTTGCCAACATGGGTATCACCGTTGGCAGAGATAGTAGCGACCTGGGCAATCTCTTCAGTGGTGGTGATATCCCGCTTGTTCGTCTGCAGGTACTCGACAACGGCTTCAACGGCAGACTGGATACCTCTCCTGAGATCCATGGGGTTGCATCCAGCAGCGACATTCTTAACGGTTTCTGAGAAAATAGCCCGGGCAAGCACGGTTGCAGTAGTAGTGCCGTCACCAGCAACCTCGTTGGTCTTGGAGGCAACGTCCTGGAGGAGACGAGCACCCAGGTTCTCGAATTTGTCTTGAAGGGTCACAGCCTTGGCAACAGTAACGCCGTCTATAATTTTGGATTTGTTAGATTAAATGCTCTCTAATCTGATATGCTCAGATTTGGGTGAGATTCTGGGCCACACATACCCTTGGTAATCTTTGGGGAACCGTAGGGGGATTCAATCAGGACATTTCGTCCCTTTGGGCCGAGAGTAGTGGTTACAGCCTTTGCAAGGGTATCGATACCCTTGAGGAGAGAAGCGCGGGCCTCTACGCCGAATTTGAGTTCCTACAACAGCGATTTCGTCAGCATTGGACTGCACAGGTGATGCGGGAAGATGCAATATCTAGCCCGTATATCTGCCACTGCCATTGCCGGGCTCGAAATACTAGCTGACGGCAGCCAACGTACCTTATGAGCAAATCGCTGCTGCTGCAGACCCACTCCAGCAGATCGGAATCGCGAGAGAGGAGCGCGTGTGGAGGAAGCGGAGGAGAGGACCGAAGCCCGGGAGGAAGTAAAAGCTCGCTGCATTACGAAGAAAAGATAACTTTTTGAGATATTACAACGCTATGAAACTATTGGTAGATTAAAAAAAAAAAAAAGGGAACAGCGCTACAATAACCCAGTAACCCAGGAAGGTGGAAAGAGAGGGCAGAGTGGACAGGGAGTGTTCAATTGGCTGGAGAGAGCTGGAGATGAGGAGGAGGTTGAGGTGGAGAAGAGAAAAGAAGCCGTTGGATGTTCGTTGGATGTTGGATCTTCTTTTTTTTTTTTTTTTTTTTCTTCTTTGAATGGCCGCTTTGGAAGATTCTCTCCGTGTCTTGGCGGGTTTCCTATTCGAGACTGGCCATGGAAGGCACTAGAAAAGTCACATGGTGCAATGGCTTAGTCACCAATCTAGGATCTGAAGATCACGTGACTATGTGCTTTCCCGAACTTGCGCTCCAAACTCGCAGCAGTCGACGTCAACTTCGGGGAGCGAGAAGAGAAGAGAAGAAGAGCAGGAAAGGGTTCTCCCTGGATGCGTGGGTAAGATGGCCATGACGGGCATATCGGGGTCAGCCCTGAGGATTTGCCGTTTGTGTGTGTGGATACAGGCAAAGTCTAGAATAAAGCATCTGCCTAATAACTCGCTTCATTTCATTGAAGACATCGATATTGCCATTTATATTATATGCTCAAGACGGTTTCAATGGGGAATATATATGGAGATATCCCTGAGTGCATCACGGTTCATGATGACGGAGACCTTCCGTGCCCCCATTCTCCCGGTCGTTGGTCGTTTCAGAACTAACATATAAGGCTTTGGCAAACCAGGGGAAATCTTAACCCTCTCAGGGCCCCTTTTTAGCAAAAAGTTGGAACCCAGCTTGACCATATGAGAAATATGGCTTAACAAATATAACAGATCATCTCCATTCCACATACGGCCCTAGAAACAAGGGGAAAATGGAAACGCTCAGTAATCCTTGGACACATCATAAATCGTTAGAAAACAGAAAATGCATGCTAGATGCCAAAAGACAGCCCAAAGGCAAAGGCGCGGACAAAAGAAGAAAAAAAAAAAAAAAAAAAAAAAAAAAAAAAAAAAAAAAGCAACATCTTAAGCAACACCTTGAATTATTTCACTCTGGTTTCCCAACTGCATCCACATCCACGCCTCAAAACACACCAGCCCCATCACCATGATCCATCAACCCATGCCTCCCGCAAGGGAGCAAACATATCATCCCCATCATCGAGGAGTGTATCAGCCAATGAACCACCGAAACCATTCAGCACCTGCATCGAGGGGAGTTGTTCTAGTATCGCTGGGGTTATCGTGTCTGCTTCTGTGCCTGTGTTCGCAGTTGTGGTGCTGGTGATAATGCTGGCGCTGCTGGTTTCGCGCCGCACGAATGGGTCTGTGTGGTGGGTGGGGTTGTTTGGGGATGGTCTGTAGGTGTGGGGATGGGGATGGGTATTATTGTGCCACAATCCTCCCGCGATGTTTTCGAATGCACCCATACCCATTCCGTCCACGTAGTGATGGGGGTGTCGTGGGGAGATGGGATTATTGTGCTGTGGTGCGGGTGGTGGGGGCATGTCGCTATTCTGGAACCGGTTCCCGGTCTCCTGGTATCCTGATGGAAGGGATGGGTTGGTGGTGGTGCCGTGATGCGGAATTCCTATGTTGGAAGCCATATTGAAAGGACTAGTATGCTGCTGGTATCCAGCACCATGGCTGGTGTTGTGATTGCCATATCTACCTTGGCCTCCGTGTCGCAATCCGTCCACCGCTGGTGAATACTGAGTGCCGCGCGTGGACTCAGTCCAGCCATACTGGTACTGGTGCGGCAGATGTCCTGTAGTCACAGTCGATTCCCCAATGGCAGGCTGCGAATTGCCACCCGCATCCACCTGCAAATCCGCGCTGCCATCGGGACTATACACTGTCTGGATCGACGCAGAGCTAATATTGTGACCGGAGAATTTCTGTCCAAGAACATCGACAGTGGTAGAATTAGCAGCACCACCCCCGAGACCACCGCGATTCCCGCCAATGCCCTGACCCGTTACACCACGCGTCCCAACCTTCACAATCTTCGACTTCAAGCGTGGCGAGGTTCCACTACATGCAGACACAGACGCAAATGCAGATAACGTCGCGTGACTCTCCGCTTTGCGGCTACTATAATAACTTGCCAAGCCGGCGTCGACGGGGAAATGAAGAAAGCTAGCGCCCGCAGAGACATATTTACCGTTGTCATGATCGCTGCGGTTATCTTCATCAATTTCATTGCGTTTGAAACTGGATGCACCTGCACGATCATCATCCTCTCTCTCGTTGTCCGAGGAATCATCATTCCATTCCTCATTCTCCCCGACTTCCACCTTTACCTTCGTGCTGCTTGGCGCAGTGCCTCTGCCTCCCTTTAACCTGCTGGAACAGCTAGCGGTTGCTGTTGCGGATGCTGTCCCATCACTGGTACCGCGACCGGTCCTGAAAAAGCCAACTCCACGCTTCAACGGTGGCGGAACGCTAGCACCACTCTCTTCCATTCTCGCGCGGAGTTTGGTGAGATGTTGCACGATGGCGGAGTCGGAGATGCTTCCACCCATCAATGCGGCGATTTCTTGCCAGGGTAATTTGATGGCCAGGGAGTTGCAGGCGCTTTGGATTGAGAGGAGCAGTTTGTTGTTGAGTGTGTCTTTTTTGGGGGGGAAATGTGGTTGTAAGGGTATTTTGCATGTGTTTAGCTATTGGAGGGTGGAAGGCGCAAGTATGCGGTTGAAGTGGAAGTTAGGGAGGGGAGGGAGAATTGAGCTACTTACCACTCCAACGAACTATGCTTCGTTTCTTCGGCCGGGTTAAGCGCGGGTTCGAGGGTCGTGGGGTATTTTTTATGATTGCCCCGCTCTCCATACCCCTCCTGGCTGACCTTGGGGTACGGGCTGAAGACTCCATTGCTCCCTTTTTATGCGGTGGCAGTGATTGAAGCTCTTTCAATTTTATTTCGTGCACTTGGTGCTAGTGAATCGAAGCGTGTGTGAGTGACTTGCACAAGCGCGATGCAAACCTGTGGGTGTTGTGTGAATGGTTCTTGGTTTCTGTGGTGAAAGGTAAGGTAATTGATGACGCCCGTAGGTGACTTTTTTTTTTTTTTTTTTTTTTTTTTTTTTTTTTTTTGATTCACTTTGTGCCAGTTTTTGCAAGGTGACTGGGGGGCTTATTGGGGAGATTGCGGATGAGAGTTTTGAGATCTCCGATTGAACCTGTTATATCACAGTTTATCCGGTTATATTGTATGGGTATGATCTGCGTGCTTTTTCAACGAAAAGAAATGTGTGGATTGGCCCCGTTTCTTTGACAATTAGCAAATGTTCCGATTCCTTCGAAATGGATGACTGGACAGCTCACGAGGTTGAAGGGTTATATCAAATCTACACTCACAGTTCTCCCGAATCTGTGAGAGAGCGCCGAGAGAGTGGCGAGGAGTGGCTGTCCAGGAGCCTCAACGAGTCTCGAGCATCAAGGATTTTATATATCCACTTGCGGTACAGCTAGTGAGGGTACTGGGAGGTATATGAATAGATGGAGAAGATTAGGTGGCGAGGACCAGATAGAAGGATGGATAAGATACTGAGGTAGGCTGATATAGCTGTTGATAATTGGGGATTGGTTTGTGATTTGTGGTTGAGCAGGGTGAGGTTTTGGATGCTGAGGTTGTCGCTTGAGGAGGATGAGTTAAAAGTTGGTTGAATGAAGGGGTCAGCTGAGCTAAGTTGCCAGCAGGAAGATACATTCAAGGGGATTTTGATGAATGGTACCAAATCAATAGGAATGGTATTCCCCTTTGCCAACGAATACATCAGAAGCAGGAGGAGCAATGGCACCACGATCTGCACATGTCATCTCTCGTTTATTTACGGGGTATACAGATAGACATTCAGATGTGAAGAGGGATTCCCTCGAAGTTGATAGAGATGTCTATCAAAGTGAATGGCACAGATGGAAAAGAAAAAAAGAAAAAGAAAAAGAAAAGAAAAGAAACGAAAGAGGGAGGGAATGCGTACAGGCACTTATAACTTCGAGGGTGCGAGCTGAGCAGAGTAGAGCAGAGCAAAATGGAAAGAGTGGAAGTGAAGCGCGAGAGAGAGGGGGATGGTGGAGAGGGTGAAGGTTCCAGATTCAAATTCAAGGCTCATTGGCTCATTCTACTGAGGAGAGGACAAAATACCCAATATCCAAGCAAGACGCTGTCTGAATTTTTTGATCCTTTTCAAAAGACCAGTTGTCCTGTCTCCCAGGTCCCCCGTCGTCTCCGCCATCTACGACGCCCTTGCCCCTCTGAACACTGGCCGCTCGACAACAAACCGTCAATGATGTTTGGAGCCTTAAGATATGTACCTGTATGGATGGATGGACATCCATGTACATGTACAGTCATATACATACGTGTCCTTACACACCTATACACGGGCACAGACGGTGCCTTGCTTAGCTCAAGGCATCCCCCTAACGGCCCCATAAACCAGCATCCAGCATCCTGAGAAACCCAAACCGGAAATGCAAAACGAACAAAAATCCCCGTTAACTCTCCAGCATATCATCCACCAGCCCCATTCTCTCACTCCCACTCCGTCCCTCACCGCTCCATACCACCCCTACCCTGCCGGAGCAAAGCAAAACGAGAGGGACAGTCGAACAGCACATGGGGCCCTGCCACCAAATACCAGGACCATGGTGCCATGGTGGCAGGGTCAAATCAGCAAGCTGACTGATATTTGAGGGGTAAAACGGCAGGTCCGGAGTAACGAGTGGGCCATGGCCGTGGTCATAGCAGTAGTATAGTGATGGTGGTTCGCACGGTGATGCATGCATGGGTAGTAGACCCGGCAATGTGGGTTTTGGGACTTCTAGGAGGGCTAAGAGTGGTGCGATGGTGGTAGCGCGAGGCTGCGGGAACCAGGGGCTTGGCGTTGGTGCTGGCGTTGGTGCTGGCGCTGACGGGCCGTGTGGGAACCGAATTTTCGGGTGCAGGTGGGTGTGTTGGGCTGGGGGTTGGTGGATGCAGGGGATTGTGAGGGGGGAGGGAGAGTGGGAGAAGGGGAAAAGGGGAAAAGGGGGGAGTTAGTTGGGTTCCTGGAGAGGATAACTAATAACTAATGTTAATGGTACATTCGTACAGGCGAATGGAAAGACAAAAAATCTCAAACTCTCGCAATGGGATTGCTTGGATTATGTGACTTTTTATTCTGAGCATTTTTTATTATTTGCGCAATGTTTTACTCTACACGATTGCTGTTGGAAAATGATGGTGCTTATTTTGTCCGGGGATGATAAGAGGCGCATCCGTAGTTCCTGCATCGCTCGCTCAAGCGTGCATTCACTGCTCAAGGCTTGCAAATGAACCCGTAACCTTGCTAGGGGGAGGAAAGCAGTCGTAGTGTGGCAAGGCAGAACATGTTAGACCCGATGAGCTGGTTAACTGGAAGTGAAAAGATCTTTCTACTAAAATTTAGGTATCTCTTTTGATAAAATATACCTTATTATAACTATCTTATCAATATAATTCTATTTAAAGAGATTAATCTCTTTAAATAAATAAATAATTCATTCATTCATTCATATTCATTACTTGATTTTCGCATCAAATTACAGATTTAGATAATTATTATCCTACCTTTCAATAAGAATTGGACTATTTCATCGTATTTAAAACGTCAGTGTTGGATGGTCCCGCCGAAGTTCTGCTGACTCATCACTGATACAGCACGAGCATCACGTGGAACGCTATTCCCAAACCAGGCCGCCGAGCTCCTCACTCAATCGCAGTTTTCTTTCATTGTCTGCCCCGTCCAGAACAGACAAACCTGCACCACCATCCAGTCCTCTCAGGCCAACTCCTCCTCCTCCTCCTCCCCTCCTCCACATTCCACATATACCCACTCATACAGCCATGGCGTTCTCGTGGAAAGCTGCCGGTCTCACGTATGTTGAAAACCCCCCGTCCGCTTAGAACCAACCATTCCCGGACTGCCCTGGCTCCCCTCTCTTCCCAATACGAACATTATCCGTCCATACATACATAACTGCATATGTGGCTCACATACCCCCTCCCCGTAATGGGAAATATCTTTATACAGATACAACCGCTACTTAGCCATCGCCGCGCGGACCGTCCGCCGATCGCTGAAGGAAGAACCCCGCCTCCAGGCCGAGAGACGCGGGGAGATGGATTTGAAGTTCGCCAAGTGGCAGGTGAGTTTGTTTGCATATATATATATATATATATATAAGGGGATCGGTGCTGGTTTGGGCATACGCAATGGATATGGGAATGGGAATGAGTGATTAGAGAGGCATTGACTAACAACGGTTTTGCGGTTTGTGTGACGGGTGTAGAATGGCAAACAGGGCGATGTGAAGAGTCTTGCTGCGGCTCAGCAGGCGGACACAGAGGCTGCGGTGGCGTCGAAATAGACTGCGGCTCTCTGATATTGTACGGATATATACGGTTATAATTGTCCGGATGGTGGGTGCTGCTGGTGGCGGGGATAGATATTGAAGTAGAATGGAGAAAGGGATTGTTGATATAGATATGCAACACACATCTACCTTTTTCTCTTTTGTACATGTATAGTACACTGATCGATCGACCGATCGATCAATCAATCAATCTTTCTGTTACACTTTGTTTTGTGCATAGTGGTTGGTAAATGGGCTGTTGAAGTGCGACGTGCTTCGTTGCCGGTGTGAGAAATGTCGGAGGTTCGTAGATACGGAATGGGAGATAGAAGAGCGCATTTGCTTAGATGGGAGAACATCAATTGCGATAACTATTAAATATCCGATCTATCCATTTCTTTCTCAAACCCATGCCCAGCAGGTATCGATGGTGGAGTTGGGATATTTGCCTGCCCAATGTCACCGGCTCAGCTTATTTACGCAACTCAATAATTGCCCAAACAACCTCACCGCCCACAACACACCACAACCGCCTTAACTAGAGTACGATACACCTTACTGCTCTACACCTCCAAGAAATTCACACATATTCACCTATATAATATATCCCACTCTCCTTATCTTCCTCCTCCATACAATCATGGCATAATTGGCCATCCTTCCAGCACACATACACCCCAATACCCTCCCAAGCAACCATGAGCCCAACAACCACCGCTCCGGCTGCCCCTCCCCCCGCCCCGCGCCTCGTTTCCGGCAACACCAACGCACAGGATATCACAGCCGCCTTCACGAAAGCTAGCTCTGGTGCGTATTCCTACCCTACTTCACAGTTGAGCAGTTAAACTGAATTTCCCTTCTTTTGCATTTGCACCATCTCTTGCATCTCTCATGGCCCTTTTGGTCCCATGAGCCTTAAAAGAACCGCGCTAACAAACATACCACGCCCCGGCCCTCGTGCACTTTTCTAGTTCTAAATATCGGCCAACTCGTCAAGGATGAGCAATTCACGCTGTTTGAGGCAGTGGGGGCGCTGGAGGTGCGTACATTAGATATTACATTCAGATATCTAATTACCCATCGCCTATCGTTTTTTATGTCGTGTTGCGGCATAACATGCATTGAGCTCGGTAGTTACGGTATACATGCGGGGTAAAAAGATGGGCTATCTAGGCTGACGGGCCCAAAAATGCAATACAGATCATGGACGAGAAGATGGATAGCGGATACCTAGCGCCTGGGGAAACGCTGGATGACGACTATGATGTTCTTAGTGATCTGTTGCCGGAGGAAGTTGTGGGAATTATGGATCAGTTGTTGTGTCAAGAGGTATAGTATACTATAAACTTATATTTTTCTAGTTTTGGTGGATATTATCTGCTACTGTCGGATGGATTCGGCGTGTTAACCTTTCGGACCTTTTATATATAGGTTGCGTGGCATATGGGCCATCCGCTCTCGCAGACGCTGTTTACGTCCATCTATCTCGATAGGTTACTTTGGCCTGTTCCGCAGACGCTGGATGAGGCGAGATTTGACCGGGTGGATGGTCATGGGACTGGTAAAGGTGGGGATGGGGAGGGGGAGGGTGAGGGTGAGGGTGAGGGTGAGGGTGAGGATTGTGCGGCAGGTTCGAAGAAGGAAAGATGGGATGGGCTGGTTGGTCTTATTTTGAGGGCGTATTGTCTTGCCCTCATCAAGGCGTGCGATCGGGTAATCTCCAAAGTGAGCTCGGAGTATTACCACGAGGTGAGTTGCATTACAATAAGCATTGAATCTTTGTGGGGTGCTATCCATGTTTGCATGGTGGTAGTCCATTTAACAGCATAATGACTTTTGGCGATGTCTAGGATGAAGACTTCGTCACTCAACTCTATAACCGCAGTTTTCTCGCCGACGTCGACTCGTCACGCATCCAAGCCGTCCTCACCGACGCCCTAAACTGGCTAGAGACTCAGAAGGGAACTATCGATGACACAGTCCGTGAAGCACTGACTGCCCGTCTTATATTCCGCGCTGAGCTACTCCGCGCCTTAGACATGGATAACACGCCCGTCAAAATGCGCACCTCTCAACACTTTCTCAAGAGCCTGGCGCAGCTTTCGCTCCTTGAGAAGTCGGTGGTGGTCGGTCGACCTGTTCCGGAGGCGTTTAGCTTGAAGATCCAGCGTCGTTTGGCTAGTACTGTGCCCCCTAGGCCCATGGTCGAGATTCGTCTGGCAGATGCGATGGCGCATATGAAGAGGTTTTGTCGGGATGCAGTTGATGCGCTGCAGATTTCGGAGTATAAAGGGCCGTATAATTTGCAGGTATGTTAGACACTTACTTAACACTTCCTAGCGATCTTCGTTGAAATCCCCTTTATAACCCCGTGCGGAACATCCATGGGTGACACGTCGCGTTTTTGAAATAGACATTAGTATGGGCAATGCAGTCGCGCAAGCCGCAGCCGTGTGTCTATGTTAGATCCCTTGTTCAGTCGCTTCTTGTCAATAAGATGAAGATCCTAGGCTCGGTGGCTGTGAAGGATTTCTTCTTCGATGCGCTTGCCGAGATTGTTTTGCCGGACAGTCGACTTTTGGATCCGGAGAATGAGGAGGTTGAGGTCCCGTCGGATTCCAGGTTTCAGATCGCTAAGCACGTGGATAACTTTGTTAAACGGGCTGCACAGGTAGGGATATATATATTTTCTATTATATAGCCGAGTCTTGCTAATGAAATTCAGCTGTTCGTCGATGTTTACCGTACCGCCTGTTTGAACAGGTGTCGAGTCCGCCGCACACTCTGCCACGCCATTGTCGACTGGGACGCTCTGCAGGCAGAGGTATGTTCAATCTGAATTTAGCCAAGTTGAACAACCCAACAGCAATTTTCTCACCCATCAACCCTTTCTCCAGGCCGAAGATTTCGACGTCCACCTCCGCACCTTATCCTGCGAACCATCCATCATCCTCCACGGCACGGAGCCCACCTACGCCTACCCACTAAGCAGCTGGGCGTACCACGAAAAACTCCGCCAGATGCGCTTCATCCTCCAACTCGGCTTCGAACTATCCATCTACTCCCCCGAAGAAATGCCGGGGATGTACTGGTACCTCTCTCACCTCTGCGCGACACACCTCGCCCACCTGGACAGGATTCGTTCCTGCGTGCACGCGGCGCGCAGGAGAGCGTCCACAGCGACAGCCTCAACGACAGCAACCGAAACCAACAAACCAGACACCGCAACCGCAACCGCAACCGCAACAGGAACAGTAACACCAAAACACAACAAAGCCTACACCCGCACCCTCGCCCTCCTCGACCGCCTAACCACTGAA